GTCCGTTTTAGTACAGAGTTTCAACGAATGCTAATCTGAGTTCATGACTGCCAATGAATCTGTCTCAGTAGAAGGCTTTATTTCTATGAGATGAATCCCATGCGTGATCTATACCACGTGTCATGAAGCTTGGGTCCACCTTTTGAAATGGTGCATCGTGAATAGGAGCCATAGAAGGATGGGGGTTTGCTGACATCTGCCTCCACCTGGATTTGTGGTGGCAGATTTCTCATTTACAGTCAGAGACTTTCCTCTATTATACTTCAGTATGTTTCCTTCTCTTTCGCTTTAGTTTTTTTGCTTCCTGTTAGAGGAAGAAGGATTCTTTGCTGTTTCAAGAATAATTCCTTTTCCCACCCTTGATCTGATGAAGATGGTGGTGATGATGATGATGTTTTGTTTCCGTACAGTTTCTTTTTATGTTACAGAGATTTCATGTGGGGCACTCTATCTGGAAGCAGGTTCTTTGTCTCTCCTAAGAGTCTGCTGAGCGGTTTGAATGTGGCCAGTTTGTGTTCTGGCCACTCTTCTGTTGCCTGAGGGTAGACCGAGGTCTGGATGTGGAGTATAGTCCACAGGCACTGTGAGCAATCCTGTTTTGCAGATTTTGTCTCTATTTTGTTTTCTAATTTAATCCTTTTTCTAATTTTATTATATTTTTCCTTCCTTCCCACCAGGACACTTGGCCCGAGGCGTTTGCCCCTCTCTTCTGTCCCCATTCCCCTTGCTGCAGCCAGTGTCTCACCCCTCAGCCAGAGGAGGGCAAGTGAGAACAGACACTGAAGCCTTTCTAAGAAGTGGGTTTCTGTGAGCCTTGTGTCCCACCTGGCTCTACCTTCTGTTTTGGTTGTCTTCTCTTTGCCCCGTTGGTGAGGGAAAGCTCTCCACCCTTGGATTATGAGAGTGGCTGAACACACAGCACCCGACACTGGTCACGTGTAATTGACAGCAGTTTATTAGTCACGTATCCTCACAACTTGGGAGAGGAGGACACTGCATGCCACACAGGGCCACATGTAGGCTGCTCCTGGGAACAGGGTGAGCAAGCAGGGTCTGCAGGCTTTGTAGCATTAGGAGGGTAGGCTGTTCCCTGGCTCCCACAGGAGAAAGTGATTGGCTTTTTGAGTAATTCCATGGGCTGGCAGGGAACTGAAATACTACTCAGAGATACACAAGAACTGTCCCCTGGATAAGGAGGGTTGTTTGACTGGGGGAGCTTCTCTGCGGGAGCACAGTGGGGAGAACTTGCTATTTCGCCATCTGATCTCACCAGATTTCCAGGCAGCTCATCAGATCGAGCCGTAATTTCAATCTCACACCACACGCACACCCCCAGCCCTGACTAGGGATTCTCATTATTCTGGGTTTATTTTACGTATTTAATCTTGTACCTTTTTATTCTTATATTCCATCTTTTGCCTTCTTCCAAACTAGAGGAAAAACATGGTGAATTTTCACATAACTTCTCTCTCAGTATATTAGAGGGGGACTTCTGTTTTACAATGGTGTGTTGCATCCTTTGTGAGTAGAGTTTTAAACTGGACTGCAGACATTGCATCAGGCAAGCAGAGGCCGATAAGGTTTGAAAAATGTACTTCTTACCTTTTTCGAATCTAACCATATGAAACAGAAGATAACAATGTAGATAATCACAAAAGGATGAGATGGGGGGGTGTGTGTGTGTGTGTGTGTGTGTGTAGGTTAGACAAGTGCTAATCTTCAAACACATATATGGAATTGTGAAATATATTAGTTTAAATATCAAAAATATATATTCTGGTTTCCTCCTGGGTGAGGGGTTCCCAAGACCATGCCCAGGTCCAGTGGTTTAGAAGGACTCACAGGACGCAGCAAACAGTCCTACCCATGGCTGGAATTGTTACTGCAAACGGATACAGAGCAAAATCTGCAAAGAGAAAGGTGCATGGAGCGAAGTCCAGGGAATCTGCACGAGCTTCCAAGCATCCTCTCTCAGGGGGTAACGTAGGACAGGATTAATTCCTCCAGCAGCAAACTGTTTCTACCAGGAAAGTTCATTTAAGCCAAGGAGCCCCAGGTTTTTATCGGGTTGATCACATAGGCACCCTCTACCCAGTATGCCACAAAATTCCAGACTCCCAGAAGGAAAGCAGGTATTCAGTATAAGCCATATTGTTTGCACAGTTTAGGATCTATGAGCCAGTCTTAACATTGAGGAAATAGTGGGAACCTCCTGAAACTCAAGTGTGTGTCAGACCTGCTACGGTACCCTTTTTTTTTTTTGCAGATCTCTCAATATAATATATTTCTAGGTGTATGAGGGGTAAAACTTCTTTCATTTGCCTTTACCTTCTCTTCTTCCCTTAAAAAGTGATGATCAGAGTCAAGTTTATAGGGTAATTACCAGGAAACAATTGTAGGTATTTAGTGAACACTCACTAAGTGCCTAGCACTCTAGACAACGGCAGTAAAATAAGGAGACATAGCCCCTGCACACAGGATTTTTATATATTAGCCTAAAAGTGAATTTAAAATGCAAACAAAAGCAATGGCGATGGTTAGAAGGTGAGACTTGGTTATTCACAGTTATCAGGTAAGATAACAGTTGGCCTTTGAATGGAATGTTTACCAAATGATTTTACGTCGGCCAAAGGCGAACATTAACCCACCCTGCGTTTGTCTCCCCTTGGCTGCCACCCACCCCAACCCAAATAAGCTATGCCAACCCATTGGCTGTCACTTTGGGGTAAGTAAAGCAGTTCTGTCTTCAGCTCCATGTGAAAGAGTGAATAATCAAAGTACCAGAAGGATCTCAGGCATCCTTAGGACGTGCAGACAGAAGCATAATTACAGCGAGCCACCTCTGTTCCTTCTCCTTGCCAGTCTCCTCATGGGCAAAATGTTCTCTCACGTGGCTTTCACTGTGCCTTTCATTTCAAATCATTGAAGGTCATACCACCTTTTAAAGGTTAATCAGGGCCAGGTGTGGCGGCTTACGCCTGTAATCCTAGCACTTTGGGAGGCCAAGGCAGGAGGCTGTCTTGAGCCCAGGAGTTTGAGACCAACCTGGGCAAAAAAGCAAGACCCTGTCTCTAGAAAAAAAAAAAAAAAAAAAAATTAAAAATTAGCCAGATGCAATGGCATGTTCCTGTAGTTCTAGCTGTTTGGGAGGCTGAGGCGGGAGGATTCCTTGAGCCCAGGTGTTCAAGGTTGCAGTGAGCTATGATCTCACTATTACACTTCAGACTGGGTGACCTTCTCTCAAAAAAAAAATGTTAGCCGGGGTAAGCATGGTGCCAAACACATGAATAAACTTCTCACTGAGATGGAAGAGAACGCTGAAGTTATTCTAGGCAAACCCGTGAGCTGCTGGGCAGTTTGTGGAATGAGGTGGCAGGCACTGTCCTGTCCTGTCCTGCAGAAGGATGATGAAGGAGAATATAATGAAATGACTACACAGAACAGTAAAAATACCAACTTACATAATCACATGTATTACAGAATGTTACATCTTCTTAGCAGATTGTGCCTTTTACTCTTTGAGCAAATCTGGCAAGAAATGTCTCTGGATACTAAATTTTTATAATCCAAAAAACTTGAATCCTAAATTGGTGAGTATCAAGATGCTAGGCCCTAAATCGGTTTCCTACAGTAACGTATAGCTATTGGCCCATCTGCTTTTTCATACTGTGTTATTGTTGAGAAGTCTGATGCCTCCCTAAAACTTATTCCTTTATTTATATCCTGCTTTCATTTTTATATTTCTGGAAACCTTGTAGGTGTATTTTTATTGTTGGAGAACTGAATATCATTAGGATATGAAATCTTTCTTTTTCTCATCATCATCAGCACTCAGCTTTTTGTTTCTGATAACTTCCTTTCCTTTGAATTCTGAACGTTCTCTTCCCATTATTTCTGTAATTATTTCTTTCTCTCCACTTTTTCTGTTCTTCCTTTCACTGCTTGGATTAAACTCACATATCTTAAATTGTCAGTTATTTTCCATATCTTTTTTCTGTTTCTCTGCTAGTAGATTTTGTCTGCATTATTCTTGTAGAGACTTAATTTTAATATTTGCCATGAGTAATTATAACTTGGCCCTTGTTGCATTTATAATTCAACAATCATACTGTTAATTCACAAGAATGCCTCTTTTTCCACTGATTTCCCCTTTATTGTTATACTTAGTTCCTGACTTCTTGTTGCAACTGCCTCTCAAATCTCTCTAAAAAAAAATTATAAATGTTCTTCTCTTTCCTCAATTATCTGCTTTTCGTAGAATGTTTATCACTGTACTTCTTTTTCGTGATGTTGGATTTTCTCTTGATATTGGTTTACAAACCATTGCAAAATACAATCGTAAAGTCTCACTTTAAAATAGCATGGTTTTGTCAGTTAGATCAGACTTAGACAATTAGAGGTTTTCTTACAAAACAAGAAGCTTAAGGAGGAAGGCCAAGGCTGGTATGGCTGCCCTGGCATGGATCTATCAATTTTTTCTTCTTTCCATTCTGCCCCCCTTAGTGTATGGGCCAATTGTTAATACTTACAGGATGTCTGGACATCACAGGCACCATGTCAATGCTTCTTAAAGAAGCTGACTTCATCCACTTTCACAAGAAAACATTAGCTTTCCTGGACACTCCACCAAGTAGAATTACATTCATATCTTACTGGATATAACCATCAGATGGTCACACTCAGTCTTTTTAGTTAGAACATAGCATCTTGGAGCAAAATCATGATATTCATAAGTTAGGAAAGAAAAGAAAGTGGGTTTTGGCAGGAAGCTAGCAGAGTCTGCTTCTGAGACCAATTCTGTTACAGTACATGGCATTTATGAGGATCAATATAATTATGAATGAATTGGTAAGTGCTGTTATCAATGCCCAGGTAGTCATTAATTGTATATATCTCCAGGCAGCTGTACCTATATATAAAAACTCTAATGCATATGTGAATACGTAATCATATTTGGAAAGATATGCCTAGATAAACGTGGCTTTGATTTCTTCTGTTAGCCTCGTGATATCTGTGACAATCACACTAATCAGCTGGATGGCACCAAGGAAGAAAGAGAGCTTCCAAGAGTTATCAAGGCAAGTGGTTCCATGGTAAGTTATAGTTGGGGGGGATGGTGGTAGGCATGAAATAAGCCATTTCTTCAAGACGGTGGAGCAAAACTTGAAAAAAGTGCAATATAATTAAGATGGCTGGACAACCACAGATTTCAACATACTTATCTACCTTAGATAATTTTTAAGGAAAATATTCAGTGGTAAATGAGCTCAAGTTGAGTAGGTAAGCTCGTGAAAAAGTGCTTAGCGTTATTAATGATTATGGAAATGTGAAGAAAGCCACAGTAAGATATTTCTAGATACCCTATGGAATGGCTAAACTTAAAAAGACTGACAATACCAAGCAGTGCCAAAGATTCAGAGCAATTAGAACTTTCATATGTTGTTGTTAGGAATGTAAAATGTTTTATCCACTTGGCAGCATCTTAAAATATTAAGGATATACCTACTATAAGACCCAACTGTTCTACTCATAAGTAATATGTATACACACAAACACTTATCCACAATGTTTATAGCAGCTTTATTTGTAATAGCCCCAAACTGAAAATATCGAGATGGCCATTTGCAGGTAAATGGATAAAAAAATTGTGGTATGTCCACAAAATGGAATATTACTCAGCAATAAAAAGCAACAAACTATTGATATGCACAACACAGATGAATCTCAGAATAATTATGCTGTGTGAAAGAAGCCAGACCCAAAAATACTTGATTCACACAAAATGATAGAAAATGTAAACTAACCTATAATGGGGGAAAGATGATCATTGATTGGCTCCTGGGGACAGGAGGGAGGGTGAGGAGGGGAGAGAACTAGAGATTCAAAGGAGGCATGAGTCCATTTTGGGGGGTGCTTGTTTTGTTCATTATCTTGACTGTGGTGATGGTTTCATAGGTCTATATAACTGTCAAAACTCATCAAATTGTATGTTATATATACTTTATGTACAGTTAATTGCATATATGATATATCTCAATCCTGTTTTTAAAAGTCCATTGAATATCTTATAATCTCATTAATAGACAACGTATTTATTTTTCAGTAAGCTACTTACAATAAATGGTCTATTTGTGTGTTACGTATGAATGACCCTTGACTCTAATCACACATGCTGCTAAACCCAAGCACTTACAAAATGTTTACAATCCAACTACAGTAGTCAGAAACCTACCTTACAAATCAATTCCTATATAGATAAAAGAAGACACCTTCCTTATGTACAGTCAACATAAATGAAATAATCTGTCAAGGTGTTAGTTTATTGAAAATGTAAAACAATCCTTTTAGTTTATTTTCAGTATCTTAAATGATAACCAAATAGCTGTACTTGCTATTGATTCATAATTTACTGTAAAATATAATCAGACCATTTGTTAAAAATCAGTTATATCTGTTTGCTTCATATAAAAGAAAATCTAAGGAACTTAATTTTAAGCAAGTAGAAGGGTTTTTTTAAAATCACAAAACTAAGAAATTAATGGCGAATTAACCAAGGCTTGTACAACTGCAAAACAATGTGGTAGTAGCCTTAACACGGACTAACAACTTTTTCCTTTCGTGTTGCCGCCTTAGCATGTGGACTTAATCCTTATACTTACAGGATGCTTAGGAGGCTCTGATGCCTTGTTGATACCTGTTAGTGTCACCAAAGCGAACTGGGTCAGTTTGCCCATGCAAAATGGAAAGAACACTGAAGCACCAAGTTTTGCAGCAAGAAAGGTTTTTTTCAACTCAAATGGCAAGGAGATAGGAGGAAATGCTCAAATCTGTCTCACTGAGCCGGGGGTTGGAGCAAGTTTTATAGTTAGAGGGTAATGAGGGGTGATCTGATTGGATCTTGCAATCAGGTGATGCCAGGAGGCCTGCTCTGACTGAATCGTGCCATGGGGTGATGCCAGGGCTCAATCTGATTGGATCCTAGATCCTGCCATATGGTGTCTGCTTACTTCAGTCCCTGTTCCTCATTCTGAGCACTTAGGTTCCACCCATGGTTGCATGCTTGGTTCATCTGGTTATGCTCATGTTGTGTGATCTTCAAGCTGGGGGTCCATGGTGTAAACCAAAAATAAAATTCTAAGGCCTCCAACTATCTGAATGGACCCCTTCTCTTTGCCAAGGGTATTCCAGAGTTATCTGAAAATCTCATTCTGGCCACAGTGGAAGAGGGGGTTGGACATGCCTCATTATACCCGCTAGCATTAACATCAACACAGACCTTAAGTCTGATAAACATTTACTGTCTATTCTCTCTAAAGCCTGCTACTTGGAGGCTTCATCTGCATGATAGAACCTAGGTCTCCACAACCCCTATCATAACTCAGACATTCCTTTCTACTAATAACCAACTGCCAATCAATTTTTCTTGTTTTTTTGAGACAGAGTTTCACTCTTGTTGGCCAGGCTGGAGTGCAATGGCACGATCTCGGCTAACTGCAACCTCCGCCTCCTGGGTTCAAGCGATTGTCCCGCCTCAGCCTCCCAAGTAGCTGGGATTACAGGCATGCACCACCATACCCAGCTAATTTTTTTGTATTTTTAGAAGAGACAGGGTTTCACCATGTTGGTCAGGCTGGGCTCAAACTCCTGACCTCAGGTGATCCACCCTCCTCGGCCTCCCAAAGTCCTGGGATTACAGGCATGAGCCACTGCGCCCAGCCCATTCAGAAAATTTTTAAATCTACCCATGACCAGGAAGCCCCTGCTTCAAGTTGTTCTGCCTTTCCAGATCAAGCCAATGTGAATCTTACATGTACTGATTTTGATGTATTATGTCTCCCTAAAATGTATAAAAGCAAGCTGTACTCTGACCACTGTGGGCACATGTTGTCAGGACACCCTGAGACAGTGTCATGGGCACATCCTTAACCTTGACAAAATAAACTTTCTAAATTGACTGAGACCTGTCTCAGATATTTTGGGTTCACAATGGCAACTAAAAAACAACTCACCACTTAGTTACATGAAAGTCAAACCAGACTGGTCTCAGGGAGGGGTTATATCAGGAACATGTGACAACTGACTGTCCATTTTTAAAAGGAAACCCTCACTCTCCTGGAAAACTTGTACAGTAGAATTTCTCTCTGTCTCTTTTTTTTTTTTTTTTTTTTTTTTGACAAACTTTTGTGACCGTAAGTTTTTTCTATTCTTATTTTAGTTGCCTGGACCTCATTCCTTTATAAATAAATTTCTCTAGGTTTTTGTGTTTGTTCTCTCTGCAACTTTCTAAATTTTATAAATTTTGAATTTATTTTGAACTTACTGCTGGAATTCTGAACTTTCACAAAGATCTTCTTTTTATCTTTTTCATCCTGGTCAGCACATAGTGGGTCTTTTCTGTCTAAGAGTAATTTTCTTTCTTCAGTTGCTGGATATTTTCTTCTATTATGTCTTAGATTATTTTTCTCCCCACTCCCATCTTTCAAGAGCACATATTGGATGCTTTGCTTCAATTGAATTTGAATAGCTCCTAAATTTTATTGAAGGCAGGCCCCTCTGGAGCTGCCTCTGCGAAGACACTAGCTACAGCAAGGGAGGTGCAGCCAGGGTTGTGCCTTCTGTGGGGCCAGCAGGAGCCAGGAGCAGGTGGGAGCCCTGCCCCCTACTGAGTTGGCAGGGTGGGAGCCCTGTGCTCCCAGGTGCAGCTGCAGTCGTCCACCTGCAGCACTGGACCCGGGCATCTCTGTACTCTTGGTGGCCTGGGAAACCCCTCCTCCCACAGGCTTGGAAGTGCCTGCTCATGCTCCCTGGCCTCTCCCCACTCCTCTCGCCCACTCCAGTGTGGAGCAAAGTTGTGGCACAGCCTGGGTGCTGTCGCAACCCCACAGAATGTGCACATGCTCAGGTCAGTGCTTACACTCCAGCCCCCTGCCGCCTTGGCCCTCCTCTGAACTTTGGGCACCAACCAGCATGGGAGGGAGGCCAAGGTGGGTGCTGAGGGCAGCTCAGCACAGCTCTGCAGGTACCCCTCAGCAAGAACAGCCTAGGCACTGTGGATGGCATGTTGATGGTGGGAGGCAAACAGGTTGCTGGGCAGAAAGGGGCAGGTACCTGGTGAAAACCCACCTTCAAGCCAGGAACAGCCTGAAGCCAGGAGGATGGGCTGCCAGCTCTGAGTGAAGTCCGCTGACCTGACTGAGGACTTCATTGATGACCATTCAGCCAATTGGATAGTGCTTTTTCCAAGCCCGCCCATGGCCACCCATGGACCAGTCAGCATACACTTCCTCCCTTCTGAGCCCATTAAAAACCCCTGGACTCAGCCAGTCACACAGATGTCAGGGACTACAAGGGCTACCTGTTTCAGGTCTCTTCAGGATGACCTGTCTGCAGAAAGGAGCTACCCACTGGGGGTCTCCTGAGAGCTGTTCTGTCACTCAGTAAAGCTCCTCTCTGTCTTGCTCACCCTCCCGTTGTCCGTGTACCTCATTTTTCCTGGACCTGGGACTAGAACTTGGGACCCACCAAATGGTGAGACTGAAAGAGCTGTAACACAAACAGGGCTGAAACATGCTTCCCACTTGCCACATTGTGGGCAAACTAGAAGGAGAGAAGAGCTGTGGCCCTTTAGGGAGCCCAGACCTAGGGGCTCTCTGAGCCAGGGCTGTGACACCCTTTTTGGGGCTCTGCATTTCCTCGGATCTCCAAGCTTCTAGGCACCACCACATTCCCTGGTGCCCACAGTGGAAGTCATCTGTGGTACACCTGGTCCAGCCATAGCCTTGTACAGAGCCAGTGCCTGTACTGGCACCTGGAGCTGCCTGCCCCGCTGCAGCCGACGTGCCTGGCTCTGTGCTGTGGCTGGACCCTGTGCTTGCTCACACACTACTTGCCACTGTGCACCTAGCTTGCCCTTGGCAGGCGTGGGATCTGGGCCAGTAGCACAAGCCAAGTGCAGCCTGCTGGGCCAAGTGGGCAGAATGAATCCAGTGGGCCCGAGCAAAACTCGGACAAAGGCAGCACCCATCACAGAGGCTTCCGGCTAGAAAAGCGACACCCTGAGGATTCTGTGAAATTAGCTCATATTATTCTGTTTGCTCTGTTTTCTAGTTTTCTTCAACTTCATGCTCCAGATTTGAAAATTTTTTCTTAGTCATTATTGTATTTTTATTTAGCTTGTCTCACTCTTTTTATAATGTTTGGCAAACAAATTATATCCCAAAGCAATTTTTAATCTCTAATATACCCATTATTATAGCAATATCATGTCAGTTCAAAGCAGCAATGGCCCTTTTAAGTTTCTCAGAAGTTAAGAATTACATTATTTTTAGAAAATCAAATAATTTTTATGTTTTCTTAAATTGAAGTGTAACTTACAAACTATAAGTGCATACGTTTTAGATGTATAATTCAGTAATTTCAGTTGTGTTTTTGTTTTTTGTTTTTTAGAGACAGGGTCTCACTCTGTTGTCCAGCCTGGAGAGCACTGGCACAATCATAGCTCACTGCAGCCTCAAACTCCTGGGCTCCAATGATCCTCCCTCCTCAGCCTCTCAAGTAGCTGGGACTACAGGTGTGCACCACCACACCCAGCTTCAGTTAATTTTCACAAATGTTATCACCCATGTAATTACAGTTAATCAAAATATAGAACATCTCCATTACCCAGAAATTTCTCCTGGGCCCTGTCAGTCAGCAGGCCCCCGTCCTGGAGAAGCAAGCGCAGCTGTTGATTTCTAACACCTTAGCTTGGTTTCTCGTTTCATATAAGTCTAATTATAGTATGTTCTTTTATGTCTGGCTTCTTTAATTTATAATAATTTTGATATTCATCCATTTGTTGCATGTTTTAGGAATTTAGTCCATTACTAAATAATATTCCATTGTATAAATACACCACTATTGATGTTCACCTGATGATGGACATTTGGATTGTTTACAGTTTGGAGTTATTACAAATAATGCTGCCCAGAACTTTTATGAGTACAAATGTAGAATAAAGGATATAAATTCTCATTTCCCTTAGGTAGAGATGCTACATAATTCAGATTGTCAGCAAACACAGCCGCATCTCTCCATCACCCATAGCTGTTAAACTTAGTAAAGAATAATTTAATAGGTAAATCTAAAATAACTAAATTCTATCATTACGAAAGATCTACAGGCAGAAACAACAACAGAAAATCATTTTCTATTGCATATCCTGTGTGGAGGATGTTGTCAACGAAAGCTAGGTCTTCATGGGTTCACACAGAAAAAATAACAGACTCCTGTATAAATATTTTTCCAGTATCAATATAGATATAAACGTTTAGTTTTTTCCAAGTTATTTTGGAAATGTAAACATCGCGTGTAGAGAACGCATTAGCTTTTGGAATGTGTGGCAATCTGTGAGTGCACAGTGATGTGAGTACCATGTGGTCAGGGACCTGCACGCCTCCCACTGGGTGGCAGCGAGTGTTTTCAGGTTTTAGGTTGTGCCTCCAGTGGAGGGAGAGCTTCCGACCACGACTATCAATCCAAGGTGTTTCATCTTGTCCTCCTCCCCAGCCCCTCCCCCAGCCCCGTCTATCAGAATCTTTTACAGCAGGGGGTGATAGGATTCACCCTACGCCTTCACGTTAGGACAGGGTGTGTGAAAGGTATTCTCAAGGCAGAAGCTGTCGGCACATTGCAGGTAGAAGGAATTACAGCTCACTGGGCCTCTTAAGTTTTCTGCAGGGGCATAGAGCTAGACTTTATTGATTTTTCTGATTGATTTGTATAGGAAATTGTTGTATGTTTCCTTTGCAGTTGAGTAGATCTATTTTCCAGAAAGGCCAAAATTGTTGATTGTGTGTTTGTGTGAGTGAGGGGGGCTTAACTGTAACGTGTGTAAAGGGGATAGGCTGGTTAGTACGCAGGCTCCCCAGATGCAAAACCAAACTAATGAGGGAGATAAAAGCTGATTTCATTTCTTGCTCTCCCCTCCATGTCTTTTGTTGTGGCATCCTGAGTTCCTTCTCCCTTAGACTTCTATACTCAAGCTAGGAATTCATCCATCCCCAAGGCAACAGTTTCATTTAATTTAGATCGCATCTTTTTGGTGTTTTTTCCTTGGGTTATATTTAGTTGCTGTCTACATATTTATGGCAAGAGAGGTCGGCCTGGCTCCTATTTTTCTAAACATGTCTTAATTATTTGTCTGCGGCCGTTTCTTACTTTTTGTTCATTCTACGTTATTTGTTTTTCTCTTCCCTTCCTAGACATTTTATCTTATGTTGCTCTTAGGAAGAGATTTTTAACTTACCAAACCAATCTCATTTGCTTTACACCTACATATTTCTCATTTGGCCTGCTGTGGAATTCTTGGCTGGTTTCCAGTGCTTTTCTTTTAAAAAATATATGTTTTTCTGACATTTGTAGTTATTTGGGTGGCAGGGGAGGTAGATTGTCAGTTTCACCATATTGACTTAAATTTCTTTTTTTTTTTTTTTTTTTTTTTTGAGACAGAGTTTTGTTCTTGTCACCCATTCTAGAGCACAATGGCATGATCTTGGCTCACTGCAAGCTCTGCCTCCCAGGTTCAAGCAATTCTCCTGCCTCAGCTTCCCAACAGGCATGCACCACCACGCCTGGCTCATTTTTGTATTTTTAGTAGAGATGAGGTTTCACCATGTTTTCCAGGCTGGTCTCAAACTCCTGACCTCAGGTGATCCTCCTGCCTCAGCCTCCCAAAGTGCTGGGATTACAGGCGTGAGCCACCATGCCCAGCCAACTTAAATTTCTTGTACTAGCTCTTGTTTCTTATTTATTTCTTTAAAAAAGAAAAAAAAGATCTTTGTTCATTTTGTAAAGTAATGTATAATGTCTCTAGAAAATTGAGAAAATGCAGTCAAGCAAAATGAAGAATGCCATTTAATCAAATGCATTAAATTTTGCAGTGAGTTTTGTTGCTGAAGAAAATAATATTCACATCTTAATTTCAGTGACACCATACTACACTACAACAAAAATCTCTTAGTTCCAGCTTTATTTAAAAAACAAAAAAAAAAACAAAAAAAAAACCTCGATACTATGGCTACTAAATTCTATTCACTACAAAAAACAGTCATAGAATCTGCCAAAAAAGATTATGAGATTAGTCTGGTTAAGTTTGTGTTTGGATACATGTAATCAAAAAGTTGGAGTTGTTTTGCTTCACATGGAGACCCTTCAGATAGGTGGCCCATGTCTGATAGGCCAGCTGCATGGACACAGCCAGGCTTGCTTTTCTGTCCCTGACTTCTTCCCGGTGCCCGTTGTCCTCATTTGTACAAGATGCTTGGCAGCTCCAGGCTGTCATCTGTGGTCCTATCATGAGCGTGTATCAGCTGAACCTGTTTTTTTTCTTAGTAAATACACTTGGTAAAGTTTCACTTACACCTTGTTGGCCACGTGACCCCTCTTAACTGCAAATGAGACTGGAAATCAGGTTTTTTGATTGACCCCAATTCCCTGGAACAAAACCAAGATATTGTTAAGGCAAATAGAGTTTGTGGCAGGCACATCAGTGTCTGCCACAGAGGCCAGTGTCCTTAGAGGGCTAGGCACCTAGGTGGCTCATAGTAATGCTGCACTAGCAGTTGGATGCAATTGTCTATGCACAGGCAGTCACGATTGCATATATTGCCATACATATCTCAGTATGAACACAGAACAGAATACACAAACACATTAGAAAGTATTTGCCTGAATAAGAATGGTACTTTTATTTCTCCATTTAGCCAGATGATGCTTCTCTCAACAGTACTACCCTGTCTGACGCATCCCAGGATAAAGAAGGGAGTTTTGCAGTTCCCAGGAGTGACTCTGTGGTAAGTCATCCATGTCAGCACAGTTACATGTCAAGGTGCAGTTGCAAGTCAGTGCAACTAATGTAGGAAGGTAAGAAGAAGCAATTCTTGAAAACATTTAAAAAATACTTGAACTAAGATCGCAAGGAAACCACAGCTGCTGGTAGAATTACTGACTTTGTAAAAATTAGGAAGAAAGAGGCTCAAAATGAAAGAGGACTCCATGAATTAATATATCACTGCAGAGAGAATTCAAAGGATATATATACATATATATATCAATTTGGAGAAATTTGTTAACTTTGGTCTTCTCGGCTGAGTTCCCTTAGAAAAATCCCAGAGGTTTGGTGATGTGGCTTAACTGCCGTCTTAACCCAGAAGTTCCTTTTACCCACAGGATAAATTCAAAACCTTCATGTGGCTATTGAAGACTCTCCACTATGCCTACATTTCCAGCCTTAATTCTCAGGACTCACTCATGCAAACTCTTTGCTTTCAGATGAATTCATTCACTTGGTCTTAAATAGCAGAACTTGTACTTTTGTTTTGTCAAAAATGTTTGTCATTCCCCCTCCCGTCACCCGCACTGCGAATCCCCAGTCAGTGTCTCTGAGCAGGTGCTCTGCAGGGAGGATATTATAGAGCCTCCACAGAAGACAGAGACCCCATTAGATGAGGCAGTGGTTTTCCAGTGGCAGGTTGATGGAAGGCAGCAGTTAGCACAATAGCCACTCAGATGGCGGTGGCACGTTCAGAGGTTCTGCTGGGGCAGTTGTTTCTCAACCCCTGTCCATTTCGAGAAACAAGAAGCTGACGACATTTATATGCATGACACATTCCTAGGAAATCCCTGTTGTTAGGGAGATTATGCTGTTAGCCCCATATAGATTTGCTTTGTTGTTGTGTTTTTAGATTTTTGTTTATGGTATTGTTTTATTTTGTTGCACAGTGATCATGTAAGAGGAATAAAATAATGTGAGTGACTTTTATCTCTAACTTACTGATAACTCTGTAGGTTACGGCATAAATAGGCTAAGGGATACCCACAATATCTGACCCACTGACTGTAAATCAGCTCTTTCCCATTCAAGACCCAGCGTTGGGATGCAAATGAGTGAGAGTGTCTGTATTTTAGACATCACCTCAAATTCACCCCATTTATTAATGAAAACAAAGTCAGTCATTCACAAAGTCTGGTAACTGTTGGAATAAGGAGTGACCTGCGGTAGATCTTACACAGTTGTGCTGTTCCCTTGTGACTGGGGACTCGTGCTCTGAGGACTTGCCCAAGATCCTTTATCTTCCATCGCAACTTGTGGCACCCATGTGCCCAACAGGCACCCCTGCATGGCAGCCTCAACTCTGCCTACCTCCTCCCCTCTTCATGCCCATCTCTGAGACTTGTGAATTTCATCATGTAAATGGTTGTAAAATCTTTCTGCTCCCCTCCTGTCTTATACAGCCTCTTAGTACAGAAACTCATCGTTATCCTCCGTACTGCTGAAGCAGCCTCCTGAGTGATCTCCAGACTTTCGCTTTATTCTCTTCAAATCCATCCTTCCCAGAGCCTCAAGTCATTGATCTAAAATACAAGTCTTGCTTACAGCCTGCGGTGGTTCTCCAACACTGTCTAGTTAACATGGGAGCTCCTGACATGGTCAGACCCCTTGTCGGCCTCTGTAGTTGGCTTTAACACCCCCAGCATTTCGTACAAGCAGCAGCACAGAACTGCATGTGGTTCCACGCACGCACCACCAGAACTTGAAGGAGGACGATTGTGTGATTGAGTTGCCAAAGAAGAGGATGGTAGGCATGCCTGCCTTTCTAGGTGCTTCCATGGCCGCTCCATGGCCACAATTTTATTTCTGATAAGACTGTTGGTCATATTTTTCTATTTCTTGATTCTTAGCTGCGAACTTCTTCGCATCATTGGTTCATTCAGTCATTCACTCAGCAAATTCTTACTGAGCACATATGGTCTACAAATAGGCTTCTTGCCAGTTTGAGGGTATGAGAGAAAGAAAATGGTCTTTTGTGGCAGTTACAGAGCTGTCCAGAGTAAGTTAATCACCCAGATTTTGTTTTTATTTTCATTTTGGTCTTTTCTGAAGGTAGATTGAATGCCAGTAATGACATAAATAAAAGTTTCAGCAGTATTGGGTCTAAAAAATACCTCACTGGCACTGGCCTTCAACTTACCTTGGATTATTTGTTACTCAGAGTATCTTTTAGAAAAGTTAAACAAAATGGTTATTTGCTGGAGTGGCTCACAGATGCCGAGTTAATGCTTTGGTAACTACATTTAGGGTCCTGTGCTTCTTGGTTATAAGGAACCACAGGGACCCCCGTTTGGTTTCCGAGTCTCTTCCAGAAGGAGGGATATCCAGTCATCAAATGAAGCAGGGGCCAGGGCTTCAAGGGTCTGTGACACCTGTAAAAAATAAACTTCTCCTGCCAGGCTAAATTCCTGGGGCCAATTTACTGTCATCCCCAAGACTTCAGGGGGCCCCAGCAACTTGCCCTACTGGAGTTTACGTTGTAAAATGATATAAAGAAGGGAACCTAAATTATCTTTTCCATAAGATAGCCATGACCTAACCCGTATCTTTCCCCTAGTCTTTCATCTTTTCTGCACGTTTGAAATGCTAACTTTATGAGAAGTAAAACCGCCAGATTTGCAGATGTCTGTCTCTATGGTTTGTTTTTGAAATCTGTTAGAGTAGGTTCCCCCTCATCAAAGTCTGCATTAGAATTTCCTTTGGCCCTTCTTAGAAACTTTTTCTTCCAGATAAACATAGAAAAAGGCTAGGACTACCCCTTAAAAAATCTTGTTATGACTTTATTAAGAATTTCATTGAATTTAAAGATTATTGTTGGAGAGAGAATTCACATCTCAAAACATTAAGTCTTCCCATTGAGGAATAATAATTGTGTTTTTCCATTTATTTATGCCTTCTATCCTTCAGTGAGGTTTCATAATTTATTCCTTTAAGTCTTACACGCATTTTCACACATGCTAGTTTGCATTGGTATTTAAATCGTAAGATTTTTAATGAGATATCTGATATAAGGAAAGTAGGTTGTTTTGTTTCTTATAACAGTGTCTCCTTTAGCTTCCTTCTTGAAGCTTTTCTACTGCTAAAAATTTTTATTTAATTTTATGATTTTTCTCAGAAATCATCTGCATATACTGAAAATTTTACTGACTCAATATGTAAGATAATTACTCATCTCATTTTTTTCCCTTAGAGGACTGACCACAATCACTTATAACGTTGATTAATAATTATGAGGATCATTTGATAAGTTCTGCATTTTTCTTATGAATTCTTCTAATGTTTCATCATTAAGGAGAGTATTTATTCTAGGGTTCTGAGCCTTATAAATATTTTAATCAGGAATGGAGTTTGAATTATATCAAATGATTTTCCAATATCTGTTAAGATGAATGTATTGTTTTCCTTCTTTAATCAATTAATTTAGGAAATTACATTGATAGGTTTTTCTTATATTGAACTATAATTATATTTCATTTCTTAGATGAACCCAATTTATTGTGTTATGTTATTCTTTTTTTTTTTTTTTTTTAGACGGAGTCTCACTCTGTCACCCAGGCTGGAGTACAGTGGCACAATCTCAGCTCACTGCAAGCTCCGCCTCCCGGGTTCACGCCATTCTCCTGCCTCAGCTTCCTGAGTAGCTGTGACTACAGGCGCCCGCCACCACACCCAGCTAATTTTTTTTTGTATTTTTAGTAGAGATGAGGTTTCACCATGTTAGCCAGGATGGTCTCGATCTCCTGACCTCGTAATCTGCCTGCTTCGGCCTCCCAAAATGCTGGGATTACAGGTGTGAGCCATCGCACATGTAGAATTTGATTCACTACCATTTTAGTATTTTAACTCCGTTCTAGTAAATGGGATTAGTCTATACATACAATTTATTAAAATTTGTTTACAGGGTTATTCTAATCTTTGTACAAATATGTTGAAAACTCTGGGTTCTTTTCAGTACCTTGGAGTCATTTACTGAACTATGATAAAAACATATATAAATCTACACATATTTATAATTTATATATATTTCTGATATATTTAATAATTTGTTTATGAAACCTCCAAAGCCTGGTATTGTAGGCATAAAGCTTTGTTTAATTTTTTTTTTTTTTTTTTTGATGGAGTTTTGCTCTTGTCACCCAGGCTGGAGTGCAATGGCGCGATCTCGGCACACTGCAACCTCCGCCTCCTGGGTTCAAGCGATTGTCCTTCCTCAGCCTCCTGAGCAGCTGGGATTACAGGTGCCCGCCACCACGACCGGCTAATTTTTTTGTATTTTTAGTAGAGACAGGGTTTCACCATGTTTGTCAGACTGGTCTTGAACTCCTGACCTCAGATGATCCACCCGCCTCGGCCTCCCAAAGTGCTGGGATTACAGGCGTGAGCTGCTGCGCCCGGCTTATTTTTATTTTATTTTATTTTATCTTTTTGAGACGGAGTCTTGCTCTGTCACCCAGTCTGGAGTGCAGTGGTGCGATCTTGGCTCACTGCAACCTCTGCCTCCTGGATTCAAACCATTTTCCTGCCTTGGCCTCCCAAGTAGCTGGGACTACAGGCGCATGCCACCATGCATGGCTAATTTTTGTGTTTTTAGTAGAGACTGGGTTTCATCATATTAGCCAGGCTGGTCTCAAACTCCTGACCTCGTGATCCACCTGCCTTGGCCTCCCAAAGTGCTGGAATTACAGGTGTGAGCCACCACACTGGGCCTGTTTAATTTTTTAATGGATGTAATTTAAGGGTTAGGTTATTTTCTATCCCAATTTGTATGAAGAATTTTGGTAATGTATATTTGCTTTAGCAAGATACACAATTTATTTCGAATTTCAAGGTATGTTATAAATTTGTGTGTGTGTGTATACACACACATATACATGCACACACATATACAAATGTTTATTTACATTATAATTTTTAAATTATCTGTGATGGTAAATATTATTCATTTTTGTTTCTAAAATGTGTGTGTTATGTCTTAATCAGACTGTAAATAGTTGCCCATATCAGCAATATATTTTAAATTAATAAATGTTATTGTTACTTATTTATTTATTTTTGAGAGAAAGTCTTGCTCTATTACCCAGGCTGGAGTGCAGTGGCGTGATCATGGCTCACTGCAGCCTTGAACAACTGGGTTCAAGCTGTCTGCCTATTTCCGCTTCCCCAGTAACTGGGGTTACAGGTGTGCACCACCATGCCCAGCTAAATTTTTTTTTTTTTAGGTAGAGATGAGGTCTTGCTATATTGCCCAGGCAGAACTTTATTTTTTAGAGCAGTTTAGGTTCACAGCAAAATTGAGTAGAAAAGTATAGCGATTTCCCCTATCTCACCATTCCTATGTATGCCTAATCTTTCCAGCAGCAATATTTTTAAAGAAATAACTAACTTTATTTAATTGTGCCTATTTTTTCCTATTGCAGTAATTTATTTAAACCTTATTTTTTTTTACATTCTGTCTTGGCTCTACTTGGGTAATTTTTTCTCATCTCTTAGAATATGAAGATATTTCACTTAATTTTAGTCATTTGCATTAAAGTTAAGAATCTCTGAATAATACTTTGGCTATTCTCATGGATATTTGGTATTTAATATTCTCATTGTCTTGATATTTAGGTAATAATTTCAGATGTGAATTATATTTTAATTCAAGATATCAGAATACCTTTAAATTCATGTTGAATAGATTTTGCAAGTGTTTAAAATGTATTGCATATTTGTCAGTGAATGTGGCTTCCTTAAGTTGGTCTCTGGGGAATTTGACAGTGTTTGCTAGTTGTGGATTTGTCCGTTCTGATCTTGGTTGCAGAACAAGAAGATGAGGAGCCTTACTGTCTTTACTGAATCAACCACAGGTGACTTTAGTACATGGCGTCATATAGCACAGAAACTCAAACCATGAGCAAAAACCAAACCGCCAGTCAGAGATATCAGAAACATATTTTGAGTCAATGAAATTTTAAGTAGTGAACAGAGCATTGAAAATGTTTTGTATAATCTTTATTGAATATGGAGGACATACCAGATAACGTTAGTCAAAGTCTAGTTATAAGAGAAAACTATAGCAAATAGTACCAGGCTCCTACAATTTAAAATTAAACATGATAACCCCTCATACTCTACTTTCCGGTCCTAGCTTGGTGTAACTAGGGCAGCAGAGCAACTTCCAGCAGAGGGAAAGCACCCATTGTGATTCTGTCACTTTCCTTAGCAGTGAAAGCCCTGGCGAGAAACACATGTGGTTGAGCACGTTAGGGAAACGGTGAGCTCAGTTGAGAACAAGCTAGGAAGGTTGCTTTAAATGGGGGTGGTCTTTATATTTAAAATACATTAAAATCACTAGTACAAATAGAAAAATAATGCTAGTTGTAATATGATCCTTAATGAGGAACGAATGTTTTAAAATAATGTATGTCAAACATCTAGCCTTCCTGCTCAATCTACATCCCAACTCAGGTACCATTTACTGGCTGCCACTGTTCCTTCATCTCCACCATGAATCATTCTCCTGCAGTAACACAAGGATGCACATGTGTTTGTCTTGTTCTGTTTTGTTTCTAACCCTGAGGATTCTAAGTCTCAACTCCTTGACCTGGCTTTCAAAACCTTCCATAATTTGCACTGAGTCTTCTGATTAATTTATTTCTTGTGTTTTTCTAATACCATGACTCGACTCCTGGTACCCCAGTCTCTTCATGATCCCCAGTGCTGAAATGCTTCAGATATTTCCATGCCTGAAATTTCTGCTTCCATCTCTGTCTGGCCTGAGTGCTTCTGCCTGTCTCCTCTGCCTTTGAAGTCCTTTTCATTATTCCTTAAGTTCCAACTCAAGTCCAACCACCTCATCAGTGGAAACCTTCTGGGCAGCACCTCTTCCTTCTCAGTCGTTCTCCAATAACATTTGCGGCTGGGATTACAGAAATTAGTTCTTAACAGTGGCTTGATTGTCTTTTCCTAATGCTTTGTAAGTGTTACTCTGTTCTTCTCATTGTAAGTAGCTCAAGAGCAGGGATTATGACTCGAATTTCTGCTTCCACCAAGAAAGTCCCACAACGATTTACATTACAAAGAGCAGGCACTCATTCAGTACAATTAACTGGCTACCGGCCAGTTAAACCGTCAGAGAAAATTAAGAAAATGACATTCCGTAGGTTTAAGTATCCCAAACCATCCGTTTCGAGGCCTAAATAAATAAAAAAGTCTTACCAATTTTCAAAAGAGTCTTCTCGCCCATAGGTAAGTTATTTCAAAGTCTGAGAAAGCATTTCTTTGTTAGAAAACTTAAGGAAAGAGAAAAGTTGTCCACATCTCTTTAAGGATTTGAGTGTGTGGGTAATCTTTATTCCGTAATGTTACTTGTAGGGCCACCAAAGATCTGCCAGACAATGAACCTGCATGACCCTAGACCTTTTTTCAGTTTGTCATTCTTCCACCAATTATAGTAATTGGGCATCTGTGTTTTAATAATTGGGTACCTATTCATATGCCATTTACACAATTATAATTGTATCAACTTTTTTGAAATAAAATAGGAATAAAAGGAGATCATGAGGCTCAGAATTCAAGACTCTTTTGTGCAACTTGTAGTATCTGATAAAAGACCTTTCATGAAGCAGGTGTTCAATTATTGCTAAATAAATACAAGAATTTAAAAAAATCAGGCTCTAGGGGAAAACATTTTATGTGTGAATAGCATATAAAATATTCTTGATGGAGTAGCAGATTTCACTATCACATATTCACAGATAACTCCCATATTAAAATTTATAAGATTTACATGTAAATTGTTTTGATAGGATTTGTGTGTAAATTTTTACTGATACCCATCCAGACATAGGCAGTAGCTTGCTTCACAGGCCTTTACAAGGACAGATACTCAACTTGTGATCATCCTGCAGAGGAGTTCAGTGCTCTGGCAGGATTTCAATTTAAAAAGTATGAAATTAATTAAGAGGGGAAATTGAATTACAAAAAATACCTAATATTTTGTTAGTTACTATCACTCTGTATTTTGCTGCAAGGGAATTAATATGTTAATGTTATATTAACATAATATAATTAATATAAGACAGAAATGCATGAAGATTCATTAACAAATGATATTATAATTATCAAATTATGTGACATCAGGCCTCATAATTTCTACATCTTAGCAAAGGTATAAGCAGCAAATATTTAAGAGCTGGGAAAGCCCAGTTATATGGACCTTACATTGTTCCCTTTTGTGAAACCTGTGTAAGCTCACACATCCAAACTGAATGCGGAAACAGGAAATCAGATGCAGGCCCTTTATGAAACCAAGAATGGCTTTTTTTTGTGAAAATAACTGTTGTATACTGCAGAACATAAGTCAGGCTGAAATGTGGGGTGGACTGTATTTATGGTAAAATGTTTTGTATTCATCTTCCTTTGCTTGGCAGGCTATACTTGAGACCATTCCAGATCTCCCAGTTCATTCCAATGGATCACCAGAGCTGGGACAGCCAGTGCAGAACGCAGTCAGTGGTGAGTGGTGTGCCTCCCATTGAACTTCAGCTGTGTCTTCTTGCTTTTGTTCTGGCACTCAGTACAGTTAGCAGTGAATTTCTAAAAGCAAAGTGTAAGTGTGCTTTTCTCCTTGTTGTGATTCTGTCACTTCTAGCACTCACTCCTCCCACCCAACTCCGAACACCCCATTGTGTCACACAAGACAAAATTAACTAAGCCAGATTGGAAGCAGAATCTTTTCCTCCTTCACGACCACCTCATCATGTAGAAACTCCTCCTGTGGGTAGTGTCTTTGCTTTAACGGCTCTTTCTCGAGTGATGTGGTCTGATCCACCGTTTCAGGCAGGCCAGGAAGTAGGCCTCTTCTGAGGATCTCTATTTACTGCTCAGGCATACGCAGCACCAGAGCAGCCTGCCCTGACAGGGCTGCCGGGGAAGCTTTTATCTGGACCTCTTCCACTTGAGAGGCGGGCTCCTAGATGGGCTCCGTATGGAATCTCAGATCCTCCTTGTATGAAAGAGGCCCCTTTTGGCCATACTTTTGTGATTTCTCAGTTTTTCCCAAAATATGTGCATTCTTTTTGTAAATAATGGAGCCTGTACTTCTTTCAGCGTTGGCTTCAAAAATCAAAGATGTTGAGGTGATGAGAATGTTCTAAAATTGATCATGGTGGTGGTCGTACCACTCTGTGAATATGCTGAAAACCGGTGGCAGGTGTACTTTAAATGGGTGAATTGAATGGCATGTGAAGTGTATCTCAATAAGGCTGATAAGAAAAAATAAAAATAAAAAAAGAAGGGACTTGCCAGACATTCGTATTCTACATCATTCTATTTGTTGCCATACTGTGACTTAGTTGAAATCATGCCACTAAAAGCTAGCCGTCTACGTGGAGTGGTCCTGTGGTTCGGACCATTGGCCTGTTTAATTGCTGCTCTCCAAAGAGTCTCTTCATAGATGCGTAGGTAGTTAGAGTTCTATTTGTTTATCTTCCTCTGTTTTGAATGCAAGCCCCTGTATAACAAGAGAACATCATAGCTCTCCCTTTGCCATTTTATTTTATTTTATGTTATGTTATTTTTTTGAAACAAGAGTTTCGCTCTTGTCACTCAGGCTGGAGTGCATTGGTGTAATCTCAGCCCACTGTAGCCTCTGCCTGCCGAGTTCAAGTGATTCTCCTGCCTCAGCCTCTCGAGTAACTGGAATTACAGGTGCCTACCACCATGCCTGGCTAATTTTTGTAATTTTAGTAGAGACGGGGTTTCTCCATGTTGGCCAGGCTGTTCTCAAATTCCTGACCTCAGGTGATCTGCCCACCTCGGCCTCCCAAAGTGCTGGGATTGTAGGCGTGAGTCACCGTGCCTGGTGTCCCCTTGCTGTTTTCTAAGTTCTCGCTGTGGTCATTTATTATTGTGTTTTTAATTAGCATCACTATTCAGAATTTTTATATCTGTTGACTTACAAATTTCTCCACCTAATTTTAATGTAAAATTAACTAAGTTTTCTTTAATTCTGCCTTTTGTTCCTTTTGTTATACTTGGTAGTCCCCTAGTCAGTGCCTACAGCAGAGGGCAAAAGAGAATGAGTTCTTTTTATAATAAAATAATTACTCACTTTGCATGTGAACAGTTTTGCCAGGCAGTGAAACCAGATGACAAGCTGAAATCTGAATCAGAAATCAGGTTAGGATTGCTCAAATGATTTATGGAGTCACTTGTTTTTGCTCAATAAATCTTTTGTCTTAATTTTCTAATTAGCTTGAGAAAAACGTTTTTAAGGGGTACTACTTATCACCCATTCAGCTTTTTCTCAATGTATGTCATATGGGATCAGATAACCAATATTAAATAACAAATTCCGATTCATTCACCTACACAGATTTAGCCATGAAATACAAATGGAATTTGAACAAACCTTAGGAGGCAGATATTCCATAGGTGAGGGGAGAAACAAGAGGAGTCAAAGTAGAGAGGAATTCTAGCAGATTCCACCCTTTCTTCCTCTGCTTCAAGCTTCTGCTTACCCATAACAGTGACACTGGGTCTAGATGAGCTTACTTTTAATATCATAAGAATATATATAAATACCCCATTTTGGACTTTCTTTTAATAATCTTCAGCAACTTTCATGAGACGTGCAAATCTAAAATTTTTTAAAATCAGATTAAATTGTTTGGGCAATGATGATAAAAATATGTCCATGTGGAGGTCTGTGATGTGACATTATTGTTTAACTGAATTCCTCGGGGTGAGTCTGCTGCTTTTCCTTGCATATAAACACTATAACATGCTTGTGGATTCACTTGTAAATATTTTGAATTTATTTTACAGCAAATAGTATTGATTGATTAAATGGCATATTAAATAGTCTATATTCTTTGTTTTGTCTTTAGATGATGATTATCTAGAAAAGAACATTCCACCAGAGGCTGAAGAGCTGTCATTTGAAGTGTCTTATTCAGAAATGGTTACAGAGGCTCTAAAAAGAAATAAACTTAAGAAATCAGAGATTAAGAAAGAAGACTATGTTTTAACTGTAAGCAAAACCTTTCATGATTATTCCAGGAACTTCCTGTGACTTCACAGGACAAAACTAAGATTTCTTTTTTTAAATATCTCTGTGTGTGCACAAGGGGTTTTGGGAGGCCAGGCCTCACACTGTTCATACTACCATTTCGGGTGTTATTTGGGCACCACTGGTTGTGTAGTGCACAGCCTACCCGGCTGTACCCGGCATTCCTGTGTTGAGGAAAAGTTGTGAGACCGCAGGCTTGAATACCATTTTACAAATGAAATAGGATTCTACCTGGCTTGTGAGCTTTCTTGCACTTTACATTCTTACTTTACTTATACATCAATGCAGACCCTACCTTTACACATGTGTGCCTCTATAAGCCACGTGTCAGAAGAGGGGACTGCAGAAAGTCACAGTCATAAGAGGAAGTGAGAGCTCACGGAACAGACAGTAAAAACACATCAAAACCAATTCAAGAACTTCTATTATTACACGATGGGCAAAGAGAGCTATATACTTTGTTACCCCAAAGTCTAATTATTTGTATCCAGAATGTTATATCCAGGACGCCTAATAGAGAACTATGTAACGTTGGTCTATTTGCCATTCAACTAATGCATGTGTGAGAAGTTTATCATGTGGAATCCTGAATATTCTGCGCTGATTAGGATTGGAGGTGTGATGAGCAGGGCCCAGGCAGTTTCAGAGCTAAAAAGATGAGTCATCCAGAAACAGACTTTTTGTACCAGGTAACTTGAACTGTTCCCAAGCCACCATCCCATGACAGAGAAGAGGAAGAAGAAGGGAAGAACTCTTGGACTCACTGAGTGCCTTCTACAGGCATGACACTGAACTAGGTATTCTATTAATAATGTAAGGTGGACCCTGGTGACTATTCCTATTTTACAGCTGAGGAAACTGAGGCCCAGAAAGGCTGAGTAACATGTCCAAAGCCCGCAGCTAGTGGGAAGCAGAAATAGGATTTGAAACTAAGTGTGTCCTACTTCAAAACCCTTCCTCATCCCTAAGCAGTCTCCAGGTTAGAGGGCAACGTGTGGTGGTCTAGGGAAAAGAGAGAAGCCTGCAGGACTCTGGTTTCGGGGGAGCCCTTCCTTATCTTAAAGAGAGGCACCCAAGAGAGGACTGGCCTCAGCATCTCCTCATCAAAGCCAGCTCCTTCTGAGGTTTGGCTCTTCCCATGAAGAACTTTGCATAGGATTTAGCACATAGTAGTTGGTCAATAAATGATTGCAATTTTTTGTTTCTATTGTTGTTATGTATTACTGATATATGAGGACTTAGCCTCAAAAAGAAGGTAAACTAGCTAAGCATTTAATAGCACAAGGCATGCCCAAACCACATCCTACATTTTATTTTTAAATACTTGAGGTTCCAAGGAGTAATTATTGAATGACTAAAGGAATGAATGAATGGGTAGATTCTTTGACTACCCCAAGGAAGCTCCAATTTGGGAAACTGCTTTGGAAAATGTGAACTTAAAGCTTTATAATTTAAATTTAAGTGTTTATAATTTTATCTATGGGTTTGGTTTTTTTGTTGTTGTTGTTTACTTCAGCGTTTTTTTCAATACCACTCTTTCTGAGGGCAAAGTGAACCTGTGGGTATTACATAAGAACAATCTTTGCTTCTAAAAGGTCTTGCTGCTTACATTCATCACAATATTTCCGGATTGTTGGAGGATTTGCTGCTGTTGTTGTTTTAGTGTCTTTTGTTTCTTAGTGTGAAAATGGAGAATATGTCAGTCTCATTGTCTTCAAAATCATAGTAGGATTATTTGCACTTTCTCTGTATTTTGCTTTTTTAAGAATTTGGAATCATTTAAATTTAATTTTTATGGTAGAATAGCTGTTGTCTCAGCAAGCATATATAATCAGTTTAAACTGGGAGTTTCGTAAAGTGTGCAGTATGGGATAGATAAACCTTGATTTAAAGATTGACTGTCCAAGAAGGAAAAAAAAACACGTTTGGAGCTCTCCTGGGATATGCCTAGGTGTGTTTCCTGGTATGTGTGTGTCACATGTAATTCCAATTAAGGGCATGGTGTGTGCATTCCATGTGGTGCCTGACATATATGTTGTTTGACTATATCGGGTATTCCTTGTAAAGAAGGCAGTCCTCGCAGTTGCGATGGCAATGTTATCATATACTTTAGACGGCTGTTTTGCTTCTAATTAGCATAGTGGTAATCTGCAAATGTTCTAAACCACATATTCATATTTCTAGGATGCAGCATGCTCCTTAGAGATGTTTTGCAAAGAACATGTTCTACTGCATAGATTTAGAGCGTCCAGGTGGCATTTGAGTGAAGGTATCATAATTTTCCTTTACCAGAAAAAATAAATACCTTCACTGTGTGTTTTAGAAATTTATTGTTCAGAAAACCAGATTTGGCTTAACTGAAGCAGGAGATCTGTCTGCTGAAGACATGAAGAAAATCCGCCATCTCTCTCTGATTGAATTGACTGCCTTTTTTGATGCCTTTGGAATTCAACTGAAAAGAAACAAAACAGAGAAAGTAAAAGGACGAGGTAACTAGGAAGACTGATTGCTTCTGGCTTTAACACTTTGACACAGTGGAATAAGATAATGCTTTTCTGATTCTTTTTTCTTTCTCCCTTTACTGTCTCACAATGAAGACAATGGGATTTTTGGAGTTCCGCTTACAGTCCTCCTGGACAGTGACCGAAAGAAAGACCCTGGAGTGAAAGTTCCCCTGGTATTACAAAAAGTGAGTAGCAGGCAAATGCAAGGGGAATTCACGGAGCCTCATGCTTATGATTTTTTACTTTGTAAACCCACAAATAAATTTTCTTTTAGATTTAAAGACACTGTCGCCCTATTAGGACCCAGGCCCCTGGTGATTTTCAGCTTTATTCCATGAACCGTGTAACAGCCCATGGCTCCTGGACAAGTTGGCCTTGCTGCATTCTTTTGGAGCCTGTTACATTTCGTTTGCTCATAACACATCAGGTGATGGACACACATAATCTGACTCAGGGCACAAACAGTTACATTTTTTTCCAATATTTTTTCAAATGTTATTTGCACATATGAATGTGTTTGTGTATTTGATTATTCTGTCTAGATAAAGATGACCATTAATTATCACCATGCATATATAAACCATACAAATATTTGCTGAGATATAGCATAGGCTGGGTTTTAAAAATATGTATATGTGTAATCATTTTATCAATTTTCCAAACCAAGTTTAATAAAATCTAAAAGCCAGCATGTTCCGGTCATTTTCCTGTGTGTCTGGTCAGATAGAATACAGTTAGACAAAGAGAATAATTTGGGTGGAAGGAGGTTTTGAAAGTGGAATTATCTGAACTATAAAATGCTAATGTCTCTGACTATTGCTGCTGAATACCTGATTTACTTTTAAGTCATGTTGTTTTATAGCCAACAATTTACACTGGTTTTTACCTAAGTGTGCATTTATTCAACAGTGACATCCAGTGGCACAATTAAAACTCCTAGTCCTTAACACAAATCTTGTTGAATTTTAAATCAAGTTTTTAAATGATAAAAATGATAAATACTGTCTAAGGAAGCATATACTTACCTGACACTGATAATCATACATCACTTGTTTAACTTCCTCTATTTTGTTACCAGTGCCTCAAAATGAGATAATTCTCAAGTCAGGTGACTGATTGGCTGGAGATAGGAGCCAGGAAGATGGCACCCAGATGGCCAGAGGATGCAAGCAACACCTTTGGACACACGGGCCCTCTGTGGGTGACTTCCCTAGGCAGGGCTGTGCCAGTGCTGTTTATATAATGTCATGTCTAGTCAGCACAGAGCAGCCCAACGAGGCTGGTGTTACCATTGCCCTTTTACTGATGAGGCAACTGAGGGATAGGAGAGTGAGATAACTTACCCAGGACACACAGTCAGCAAGAGGCGGAGTGGGAACAGGAGCAGAGCGTATAGCAAAGTCCAGAGTCCATGGGGACGCTGAGATTTTCTTTCCTTCATTGAGTTAAAACCAGCATTTTGTCCTGTGTGTGAAGGACAGAGTTTAAAATATTCATCAAAATCAAAGACAATTCAGCACATGAGTTTATAATACTGTGTAGGTACAAAAATCTAGCTTAGAACTTAGCAAATAGAAAGTACTCAATAAGTGCTAGTTGAACTAAATCTGGATTTAAATCATATTCGCAACATGTTAGTTGTTATTACTACTGGATGTTAAGTGTTCCTTGCTACAACACCTCAAGATAGTACTCTCCCGCTCCTACAAGAGAGGCTTTTCTTACAGACGTGTTTCTTCTTCCTAAATATCTATTTGTCTCCGTACCTAAAAGAATTACCTTAGTTCCAGGCACCATCCACCATCATTTCTTGAAAGGAAAATAGCAGAGACGCTGGATCCCCTTCTTACTGGGTGAACTTGGCCAAGTTATTATCCTTTCCAGAGATGCACTGTGAGCTGCTTTATTACAGCGAATAGAACTGTTTTCCTTAGACTCCTTAGCAGTAGAATAGGGGTAACGAGAGTACCTACCTCATAGGGTTATTGTGAGGATTAGATGCGTTAATGTAGGTAAAGGACTGAGAATAGGATCTTACACATAATCAGTGCACAGTACATGGTAGTGTTTATTACTTTTTTAACACCCATCACCATCCTTAGAACTCGTGAAAGCTATTAATCTTTACCCCGTCTAAACTCCTTGATCAGACTTCTAGAATTCCTACCGTTTCTTAGTCAGAGTGATTGCAACCAATGACAGTAGATTTAGAATCTCTTGTTACTGATCAGTCTGCAGAAAGAGTTATAGTAATCAGATCTTAAAAATGGTTAAGAGGCATATGTAATTTTAGAGTGGTTAAGAGCACAAATGAGTCGGTGCCATTACTTACAAGGTTGATCTCGGGAAAGTTGTGTAACTACTATAAATCTCTACTTTCTCATTTGCATGTTGGAGGATAATGTTGGCAGCATAGGATGGTTATGAACATTTAACAGCATTCAAGCGTCAGGCACATATATGCTTGGTCACTTACTGATTCGTGTCATCATTGTTATTGTTTTATATGTTTATGATCACAGAGGCACTTAATTCTTGTAATATATCATTGCTTTCTAGTTTTTTGAGAAAGTTGAGGAATCAGGTCTGGAATCTGAAGGAATTTTTCGACTTTCAGGATGTACTGCTAAAGTCAAGGTACTGAACATTTTGTCTCTTCCTAGGTAGAGTTCTAAGCTAGCTAGACCCCGTTCACATAAGCATCGGGTATCTAGTCTTTGTTGTTGTTTATTAGATTATCACTTGGTCCTTCCTAGTATTCCTTGGTACCTGTGGTAACATGTTTGTTCCAGAGTGTTTTCATGATCCAGAATTTTAAAAATCAAGACAGAAACATTAAAAAACCAAAAACAACAATGAAATAGCACATCAATTCACCATAAAAAAACTGCTGCTTGCCTTTAGTTTGGAAAAGTTGAAACGTCTCACCACTGTTTTGGAGGTTAAACACCTTAGTTTGTTGTGTTCCTCTCAGCCATGGAATTCACTAAGCCAATGTTATATGAGCCTTTATTTCCATCATTCGTTGGTTTAAACATTCCTTGGCTTTCCCTTTAGTGAAAGCTCTTACAGGAATTTGTAGCAGTGGCTATATAACCACTAGAATACTCACTCAGCAGTTCCAAAACCCAGTTCCACTTACGGTAATGTTAACATCCACATCTAAAACCAGCTGTTCAGTGTGGATCTTGTTCCTTTGCTTTCTTACTTCCATGAGGTGGCCAACTCTACAGTACAATAACGCAAAGAATTGTTAGAAAAGAAAAGCTTTTCTCATAAAAATCCACCAAAATATCCCACTGTGTCTGCGGTAGGCATCCACCATGGAGAGCTCCTTCCTGCAGTTGGATCACTCCCTGGCTTGCAAATGTGAAAACCTGAGCAGTTTTAAAAGATGGATCCCTGAGCAAACAGTCTCGGGGCAGGGGAAAACAAATGTGGTAATGTTTATCAAAAAGACATTTGTAGAGGCAAAACAGCATCTCTTCATTAATTCATTTTGGTACATGCTTTGGGAAATTCTATTTGTATCAGTCTCACAGTTTTTATATAGAAGTGTGATGAGAGGTTTTTCTAAGTGGAAACTGAGAATAGATAGGCTGTGTCTATTGGATCCTCCAGAAAGCAGATGCTGAGATGGGTGAGGAGCAGAGGAGGGTCATGGCAGTACTGCTTCTGCAGGATGAAAGGGGCAGGAATCTGGATTGGCTGGGGTGAGGCTCCGACCACGGTGCAGGTCTGACAGTTCCTAATCGTGGAGGAGCTGTGTGCTGGGCAGAATGGGCCAGGCCCTAGTACCCGTGCCTCCCTCCATGGTGGCCTGGGGCTTCCTGCAGAAAATATGGCTGAGCCACATCTGGAAGGGGCCTGCAGCTGGGAGAGTCTGCTACCTGAGCTTTTGCACATGAGGGCGAGGTCTTCCGTGAAGGGAGGTCAGAGCAGGGCACAGGACTCCGGGCTCCGGGCATGTTGAGGGGCTACGACTTCCCTGAGAGTGGAGCTGGCTGAATGCTGGCACAAGTTCTTGTGGAAGGCAGGGAGAAGCCCAGCGGCTCCTTAAGGTTTATGCTTTCTAAGTTGAATCTGCTTTTTGTCTCCATTTCTCGTGTGTTTGGTTCCTACATACTCTTCTAAACAGATGTATCCTACATGTAAGGATGAAAACCGCTACTTATTTTGGTTAAATCTTTGGTTATATCTGCAGAGTCAGAGAACCAAAATGAAAGAAAGAAATTTCCTAAACAGAAACATATTCCATCTCTTGAAACCTCTGTCCATAATTGGGAAACTATTTGCATATATTCTTCCTGGTTCCTCTGTGTGTGTGTGTGTGTGTATGTGTGTGTGCGCGCGCACGCGCGTGAACACACGCATGCATGGGTGTATAACATGCATAATGGATATGATTTAAATGTCTTGTTTCTAAATCACCAAAAGGACAAAACATTACAGGGCATTTCTTATGTGCACAAAGTTTAACGTCATAGCAGCAGTTACCTTTCTTTGTCTAATCTTCCACTGAAAAATGCTTCTCAAAGGCTGATCATTCCTTCAGAATGTTCTTGTAGGCACATGCATTCCTGGACCACATATAGGTCAAAGTCTTTTTTCTCCCCAGGTTTATGTAGTTTCAGCCTATTTATTCTATCACTTATTAGTGGAAAATGTAATCCAGATGTTTTCATGGTCTGAGCCCCAGGAAGGCCAATGTGAAAGAAATCTGGGCAAGTGAACAGAAACCGGGAAACACTGCAGTTAGAAAGACATTGAAACGTGATGCGTTAAAGGGCTCTTTATTCCTCTCCTTCATTCAAGCTTTTTATTTAAGCTACCTCCTTTTTTGTAATTCATCCACTGAACTACTAAAAACTCCATTATAATTATCCTCGAATGGAACCACGTCGATGATTCCAGCCCTGTAGTCCGCTAGTGTATCATTACTGTGAACGGTCTGGCCTGGCTTTGTGCTTTAAATGCTTGGGGAGGCTGACAGAGAAGCAGCCCTGGGAGGAAGCTGCTGGTTTTAGCCAAACAGGGAACACGCAGCTGCGGAGCCAAGTCCCAGACTTGAGGCCTCAGCTCATTTGGAACCAATTTAATGCTTTGGTTGGTGTTTGCAATGATTTTCTTTCAAAAATGACAGAAATTTGAGCCAAACACCGGGGAATATATTTTATGGAAAGAGACAGACTGACATGCGAGTTTTTCTTTTTTGACTAGTTCAAATCATTCCAAGGCTGTTCTAAATGTTTTATAATTACCTCACCTGGCTTATTTAGGCTGGTCATTTGCATTTGTATAAAACTACCTCCAAAATAGAGTCAGGTTGCATTTTTGCTGAAGGGAGTTTTAATGACAAGACTTATCATCCTTGCCTAGTGCTCTCAGTAACAGGGGTCAGAAAAACAGGGCTTCGGAACCTCTTAGTGCTCCCTGTCTTTGGCAAGGTAAACTCACACCTGGTTGATGTGGTTTCACATTGGGACCACCATAGATAGGTCAGCTCTGTTCAGAACCAAAAAACAGACATTCTTTTTCTCAGCGTTGCTTTATAGCAGCCATCCAGACAAGATGACGCGGTATTATTCCCTAAACAGTCACACCGCATACGTGTGGGGTTCCCATAGTAATGACACTGCAGGTTAGAAGAGACCTGAGAGTGGGGGAGGGGCAAGCAGTCAGTGCGGCGTTTACTGGGAGCCGTCCGCAGGACCTGCCACTTGTTTTGATCTTGGGAATGTCGTTTTAATGTTCCATTGTACATTGAGAAGCTTGAAGCACAGACTATACCCTAGTCAGTTGCAGAGTCAGGATAAAAGCCTAAAGGATCTGGTTGTAGCACCTGCCCTTGACCCAGGTGCCCTGTTGCCCCTTAGGTGACCGGGCACTAGTCATAGGTTAGGATGGCCACATTCGTGATTCAGATAGATTCCTTTGGCAGAGGTATGTGGAAAATGAATTTGAATTCTTCTCCTCTCGCTGGTGCTTCCTGTGCACTTGGAAAACAATGTCCCCTTTGCTTTACTGCAGTGGTAACAGGCGATTGATGGGAAATGCTTACTCCTCCTCCTGTATTTTTCCTATTAACAACACTGCCATCTGCCCATTACAAATCAGATGGAAATCATCTTGGAAAATCATCTCTGATGATGATTTCTCCCTCTGAGTCTCATATTCAATCCATCACTGATTCTTGAGAATTTTCCCTCCTGGGCATTTCTTAAAATGCCTCCTCTCCTTTCTATCCTACAACTGTTTATCCAGATTAGTCCTTAGTTATCCATCCCTGGAAGTGGTGCCGTGGCCTGATAACTGGGTTCTTTGCCTGTCACTTGCTTCCACCCACCTGACCTGTGCCAAGCTCCACGCTCCCCCAAATCATTTTCCCATCTGGCTGTCAGAAAAGATAAATTTACCCTTGCCGTTCCTGTGCTTAGAGATGTTCCAGTCTGCCTCATTGCCTACAGGGTGAAGGCTAGTCCCCTTAGCACTGGCACTGGCTGCTCTCCAGCCTCATTCCTTGCCCTAGATGTGCCAGCAAGGCTGAATGAACTGGAGTTCCGTAGACACACTGGATCTGCTGGCATTTGTATCACTGCTTGAGCAGGATCCCCTTCGATTTCCTCTCCCCTGTAGTCCTCAAGACTTGGCCCTAGCAGCGTTTGACTCCTCTCTTTCCTGGCTACATAGCACCAATGCATGACTTTCTTACAGCATGTGCACTCTGAATTCGTAATATCAGCTCATGAAATAGTCCCACCCACTAGATTACAGGACACCGAAAGGCAAAGAATGGATCTCATACATCCTCCTCTTTTCAGAGCCCACTCTATCTCTTTCATTCTAGAAAGAACTTTATATTTATGCTTAAGATTTTGTAAAGTGTATTTATCACCAAAGGGTTTCTTGATTAGCTGAAGTATTCCTGTAAGATTGAAAGCTTCTCCAGGACAAGAAGAAAATCTCCTTTTGATATTATCAGTAGAGGTTAGAGGGTGCATCATAATCACGTGTATCTCTGTAAGAAACTTGTGCTGCCAGGGACCTCCAGTTTGCAGGCTCTGGGAGCCAAGAGAGTGATTATGTCTGGCTGGTTAATGAGCTGATCCTTATTAGGAAAAGGTCAGATGTGCACACTGACTCTGGCTGTGCGTGCTCAAGGCCAGAAGAATTAGGCTTCTCATGAGAATAAAGCAGAGGTCTTAAAGAAACAGAGCTTTTAGAGTTCCCTTTCTAAGTATCCTTTCTGGAGCAGTTAGTGTCAGCTGGGAGACTGACTATAACTGCTAGCATTATAGGTAAACCTTGTAGTTCAAAGGAGCAGTAAAAAATGAGTTTGCCTTTGAAAAGAAACATGAAGCCTGAGTGGCATTGATAATCAGATGAATTAATAATGTAAAATTTGTAAGCCAAGTAGAACTTACGGAGGCTTAGAGATTTTTTTAACAGTGTTTGCACAGTATTCCAGACCTTACGAAGGATTGGGCAAGCCTGTGGAAGACATGTGTCTGTCTTGGAATAAAACTTTGCTGTCACTGCTCCAGGAAGATGTCATAGGTTTGCGTGTTGCAGTGAGGTCAGAGTTACTTTATTGGGATATTTCTCATTGTGTATGTGAACTGGCTAAGAGGCAAACCTTCTTGATCTAATTTAGAAATAGAAGAGAGGATAGCAGGAGGCATTCTGAAACAGGGGGAACGGAGACTTTGTCGGAATCTAACAGTGTATTTATCATGTGGGAATAGTGGTGTTCTGCCAAAACCACAGAAATGAAACTGTGATCAGAGTAGAGAACTTCTATATTTGTGTAGAATTAGAAAATTATTTCAAGATTAACATTATCTTTTAAATATTTTAGAAAATTGTTTTTAAAAATGCATCCTCACATAGCTATTTCCCTTAATCCTGTTGAAAAAAATTACTCTTAGTAGACATTACCTTACCAGTCTGTTTACAAAAATATATAAGAACAGTTTTGGAAGGGGAAAATGGGGTCACGTGGTAAAAACGCATTGAATATTGACTGTTTTCCTTGATTTACAGCAATACCGTGAAGAACTTGATGCCAAGTTTAATGCTGATAAATTTAAATGGGACAAAATGTGCCATAGAGAAGCTGCAGTAATGTTGAAAGCATTTTTCAGAGAACTACCCACCTCTCTCTTCCCTGTGGAATACATACCTGCCTTCATCAGTCTAATGGAAAGTAGGTGGAAGATGTCAAATGTGAATACGCTAAGATATAAGGTCAATAAAGTGAGAGCAGAAGAGAGATGCTGAATCAAATGTGCTCATGTATAGATTTGCTGTGTCCTGACAGTGCTTGGTGGAATATTAAGTTTGATGGCAAACAGTCACTTACTTATATACTTATATACTTAAGCCTGGTTTAGAGGGTTTTATAATCATTAAAAGGCAGAGGGGTTTGCAGAAAGACCAGGCTCTTAAGATTTGGATTCCTGTGCAACCATCTGTTAGCCATGCAATCAAACCTTCTGAGACTCAGTTACTACATCGGTAAATTACAGATCATAATTACTTGTCAGGGTAGCCATGGATATTGAATGAAGTCATTTAGAAAACAGCCTGGTGTGTGGTAATGCATCAAAAAATAGGACATCACTCCGTTTCTTAAATCTGAGGTCCTAGGTCTGATGATGCAGTATGCAATAAATACTTCACAGAAGATAATTTGTCTCTGAAAATTACAAAGTCACATCACGTTTCTGAAAATTACAAAGTCATATAGATTAGGCCTTTAAGTGAAATATGTGGGCAAAACCACAAAAATTACAAAGTGTGTGTCGTAATTGACAGGAATCATTTGGCATGGTTTGAGCATAAAGGTTGAATATTGTGGAGGATGTAACAAGAGAAAAGTTTGGAAAAGTAGAATGGGGGTACGTAGTGGGGGCTTTAACTGTTAACCTGGGGAGTTCAGGGGTCAGAAGTCTAAATATGTATGAGCATGCTAAGTAAATGTTGATTCTACATGGACCGAAAAGGTCTGTGTGCAAACTGAGAGGACACACCCCATCTAGAGACACTGTCCACTGCTTGGTTCTCGATAATGGTTGCTGTGCCAGACTGAGAGCCAAATCCAGGCTTTAATGGGAAAACCTAATTTGAGAATGTCAGCCACTAATTTTTTTTGTTTGTTTGAGACAGAGTCTTGCACTGTTACCTAGGCTGGAGTGCAGTGGTGCAATCTTGGCTCATTGCAACCTCCGCCCCCTGGATTCAAGTGATTCTCCTGCCTCAGCCTCCCAAGTAGCTGGGATTACAGGTGTGCGCCACCACACCTGGCTGATTTTTGTATTTTTAGTAGAGATGGGGTTTTGCCATGTTGGCCAGGCTCGTCTCAAACTCCTAGCCTCAAGTGATCTCCCCACCTCGCCCTCCAAAGTGCTGGGATTATAGGCATGAGCCACCATACCTGGCCCAGCCACTAATTTAAATTTTAAAATGTTGTGTGGACTTAACAGGTGATGTCTGTATCTGCCAGTTTACAATCTTCTGCAGTTTGGCCAGAACTACAAAATCATTAAAATTACAATGAAAGAAAATAATAGATCCTAAGTTGTATGACAAAATCTGTCCTAAAATATATGTAGGTTCTAAATCTTTGAATGTTTTAACTAAACCAGATTCATAAAATAATCTTTTGTGTCTTAAAGAGAATAAGGCAGGCAAGGCAGTTGTTTTCTAAGCTTTAATTCACATGCTGTCCATGACTAGTATCTCTTTTCTTTGTAAGCTTACTGTTTTTATTTTATGAGGAAAAACTTGCTAAGAGGGAAGAGCTACTAATTTCCTTCATTCATGTTTATTTCAGATATTGTATTTTTTCAGTTCTAGAATTTTCACTTGGTGCTTTTAAAATACTTTGTTTTTCTGTTGACATGACCTATCTCTTCATGCATTAGAATCATATTTTCCTTCACAGCATTGAGTACAGGTACAATAGCTGCTTCAGAATTGGCAGCAGGCGCAGTGGCTCACGCCTGTAATCCCAGCACTTTGGGAGGCCGAGGTGGGCGGATCACAAGGTCAGGAGATCGAGACTATCCTGGCTAACATGGTGAAACCCCATCTCTACTAAAACTATAAGAAATTAGCAGGGCATGGTGGCAAGTGCCTGTAGTCCCAGCTACTCGGGAGGCTGAGGCAGGAGAATGGTGTGAACCCAGGAGGCGGAGCTTGCAGTGAGCCGAGATCGCACCACTGCACCCCAGCCTGGGTGACAGAGCAAGACTCTGTCTCAAAAAAAAAAAAAAAAAAAAATCTTGTTGGCTAGTTCCAACACCTGGGATATCTCAGGGTTGATCTCTTCTCTAAGAGTAGGTTACACTTTCCTGTTACTTTGTACGTCAAGTAAGTTTAAAGCTTATTCCGAACATTATGAATATAGTGTTTGGAGACCATGGATTCTGAAGTATTTCTGCAAAGAATGTTGTTTGGTTTCTTTTTCTATTGTTGCTCTTTGAAGCAGGCAGTTTGCTTGGCTGGACTCAAATTGTCAGTGGTCTTTTGGGCAGGAGTTCGATTCTCCGTTCAGTTGTTCAATCCTTCGCCGTGTTACCCCACACACATGGTTTGTGGCTCAGCCAGAGATTTGGGTGAAGTTTATATCAGAATTAGGGTCTTCCATCTCTGGATCACTCATTTGTTTTTGTTTTTTTGGTATTTTGAATTATGTAAGGAGGATTCAAACCTCTAATTCCAGATCTGTTCAGAGAATCATATTTAAGAAGGGTATATGAATATATTAATTTTCATCTTCCAAAATATTCAATCCTTATGTTCAAACCATGCCAAATGATTCCCTGTCAGTTACAAAACATACTTTATAGTTTTTGTGCTTTTACCCAAATACTTCACTTAAGATCTAATCTGTATGACTTTGTAATTTTCAGAAATGTTGTGTGACGTTGTACTTTTCAGAGACAAATTACCTTCTGTGTAGTGTTTACTGCATGCTGCATCATCATTGCTGCCTATCTGACTGCAGCCAGTACATTTCACTGAAGGGAGAGGTTCTGAGAAATATCCTGAAAGGGTTCACAAAGGAGTCCACATTCCTTCGTATAACTTTGAAAGTGAAAAATACTATATTGCAGGTGGTTGATTTGATACCAGCGAACCCTGCAGGAAGCCCAGAGTTCTGGCCTGCTACCAGCAGGAAATAATGGCCTTTTTGCCACCTAAGTAAGCTCTAGTTGTAACAAGATTTTCTGAAGGGGAGGACTGTGAACAAGTGCATGTGTGTGTGTTTAAGCTGTGCCTCTCAATACCGTCAGATGGAGCTCAGAGAACACAGAGCCTTTCCCACTAATACTACTTTCTCTTTTCAAACTTGACCCCAACCTTGACTGTAAAATTAAGGACTAGTAGTTCATCAATCAAGCCTCAGATGCTTTCATGACTTGCTTAGTAACTTTCTGGGGAAATAACGACCTCAGGAAAGGGAATACTCGTGGCTGGGATGTATTAAATGAATTAACTACAAAACTGTTAACCACAAAACAGTGTTTCCTAAGTAAAATGAAAATGGAATATTTGCAAAACTAAACTTAAAAGAGCTTCATAATTTCTCTGAAATTAATGGACACACAGTGGTCCCAAGCCTGTATCTGCGTATCTTGGTTTTTACCCCCAGAGGTTTTTTTTTTGTTTTGTTTTTTTTAATTGCGTTGGAAGATTAGAGACCGTTCTCAGCCTGCAGTTTATGCACTAACATAATGTCTTATCTGCCCCTAAATGCTTTGCACTGAGACTTGCTCTTAAAGTTTCTATTATTCAGGCAAGCTCACATCAATGTGTATTTACTGTTTTCAGTAACATCCTGGACCTGTGTCATTATAAATTTGATACAAGTATCTACAAATCCACACGTGGATTTTTCTTCAACAATATGATCCTCCCTCTCTCCCCATATGACTTGGTTGTATACACTTGTCATCTACCCCTGAACTCTAGCACACACAGCTCTGGTAACCTAGTAGCTTGTCACAAGTGTTTCCACTGCTGTACAGCTCAGTTAACTTCACCGGCAGCTGACTGCCTTCCAGCCACTGAATAGAAACAGATAGATTTTTCCTTCAACTTGAGAACTCCCCAGAGATTCCTGAACATAATGCTTTCCTCCAGGAACTCCCCACCAAGACACCATTTTGAAGAGAATACAGAGGGACAAGGAAAGCCTAGATTCTCTGGTGTATTCTAAATTTTCAGCACAGCTGGTTGTGGATTATCCAGCTGTGGATGGAATCCCAGAGTATAAATGCCAACCCTCTGGCGCCATCTTGTGTCATTATTGAGGAAGAAAACACTCAACAATCTCCAAAGATCCAACTACAGTCGTCACCTTCCCTAAGCGTCCATGAAAGCTCTAGAATAAGTGTCATAGATCATTAAAAAAAAAAAGAGCAAACATGTAGAAAGATAACTGTATACAGGTACTGATTTAAGCACTCTACCTATATTAACTCATTTAATCCTCATAACAGCCTGTAAGGTAGGTACAATGACTATTCCTGTTTTACAGATAATCAAGTAGATACGGCAGGGATTAAATAACCTGCCCCAGGTCACACAGCGACTAAATAGTAGACCAGGATTGGAACCTGGTTCTAAATCTGTGTTCCTAATACTTACACTTTTCTGCCTCATTATATGGAAGCAAGGTGTTTTTTCTCTTGTATTGAGCTTTACTTCTATTTATAGTATTAAAGGAAGGGAAGGTCTACGAAAGTACTTTGAAAGGGAAGTGCTATCCAACTCCAGAATTATTCTGAGGATCTCTTTGGCCACCTGCCTCAACAATGGCATGGTGGGATGGGAAAAGGAACTTGATGGACGGAGGCACCTGTCCAAGTGAAGAAATTTACATTGCTGGGCACAAAACCTGAGTCTTTACCACCAAAAGCTGTCAGGAGCCCTCCTGTGCCAGCAGATGCTAGCAAGAAATGCTGTCGGGATGCATCAGGGTTATTTAAAATGTATGCCTATTTCTGTTTTCTTGTTAGGAGGGCCTCACGTCAAAGTACAGTTTCAAGCCTTACACCTCATGGTCATGGCGCTGCCTGATGCCAACAGGGATACAGCTGAGGTACGTCGTGTCCACCTAACGGCTTGTCAGGGGGCTCTTACTGCTCAGAGCATGTGGCTCATATAGGAAAATGAAAATGGAGATGACAACTCACTGAGCCACCCGAGCATGCTACAAACACATGACCTTTCTGCGCTCCCACTGCCCTTCTCCTGAGGAAGACAAGAAAGAGTGGAGATCTTGGTACCTTCCTTTTTTTTTTTTTTGAGAGACAGAGTTTCGCTTTGTCACCCAGGCTGGAGTGCAGTGGCACGATCACAACTCACTGCAGCATTGACTTCCCAAGGCCAGGTGACTCTCTCATCCCAGCCTTCCAAGTAGCTGGGACTACAGGCATGCGCCACCACACCCGGCTTTTTTTTTTGTAGAGACAGGGTTTCGCCTTGTTGCTCAGGCTGGTCTCCAACTGCAGGGCTCAAGTAATCCTCCTGCCTCAGCCTCCCAAAGTGCTGGGATTACAAGTGTGAGCCACCACACCCGAGTGGTATCTTCTTAAACATTTAAGTTTCATTCACTCTATTCATCCCAGAGATATTGGCTGTCTATCCTGTGTCAGGCACTGGGCAAGGTGTTAGGAGTAGGAGAAGAGGCAAAGATGAAGGCTGAAATGGAACAGTGTCAGAAGTCAATAAGACCATTATGTAACTTGTAAAATAGACTCTAGAATTGCTGGTTCTCAGCCACTCATGTTTGTCTGATGTACAGAAGTGGAAAGAAAACTCTGATGAGTGTCCTCGGGGAGGAATTGGAAATCACTAGTTTAAATTATATTTCCAACATGTTCATGTTTTTAAATTTGTGAAAATAATTCAATTTAAATACTTCTAGAATTTCAGAATTTTAGAGATCATCTGATAGAATTTGGTCATTTTACATATTAGGAAAATGAAGCAGAAAAGTGATTTCTCTACTAATATATAATAGAACATTTGATAGAATCATATTCTATAGTTTCATCCCCAATTTTTCTCCCTTTATTTCACATTTATTCTTTGCTGTATGTTGGTAAAAATCAAAGTTTCTCTTGCTCTCTGGATAATCATTCTATATACAATAAGAAATTTATTTTAAGTACAACAGGTATTTGGAATCTTTGAAATGAAATTGAGATAAGGATGAGTTGAAAAGAGATGGTAATTTTGAGGCCAGTAAACATAATGCTGAAAACAAAGATGGTTGTTAGTGCTGCCTCTTATCACACATTTCAGTGTTCTAAGGACCTTCCTCCTACACAGCGAAAATATCTATGTCAATTATAACGTATGTCAGTCATATTATATCTTTGAGGCGAGGGCAGAGATCAGCTATGACATAAAAATGACCTTTTCTAATATAATTCAGTAATTTTTCAAAAGCTGAAAATGTATTAGCTTGTTTTTTGGCTTTGTGTACACAGTGTTCTTTTATCAAAAACAATCCATCTGGTGTCAAATATCTGAGTGAAAACATCATCTACCCTTTCATACAACTGAGGATGCAGCATTTATCAAATAATTTAATACATTTCTAACAAAAGGTCCCCCCAGAACATCACGGGACTGGTGAGGATGTTGCACACATGCGCGCTCTCTCTCTGTCTCCCCCTCCCTCCCTCCCTCTCTCTCAATTTTCTATTCTAAATTGTGACTGGAGCTAAGATTGCAGCTGGTGTGAGTTAGAGGTCAAGAACTCTAACTGAAGAATTGGTTCCTTTGGTTCAGATCCTGGCTCTGCCACTTAATTAACTGATGCTGGGCAAAGTTGCTTAGCCCCTCTCCACCTGGGTCTCTTCATCTGTAAAATAATAATAGTACCTACCTCACAGGGTTTGAATGATGATCCGTGAATATATATAAAATACTAAGGGTAACGCCTGGCTCACAGCAAACCCTCAAATGAATGCTGACTATTATTACTCTTCAGTGCTGTTTTTCTCATTGCGAATACCGTGTAGTGGAATTCAAACTCGGAAAGCCAAAGAGCACTTCTTTTGGGGATTTCAGCTGTCTTGGTGAACTTTAGAAGTTTCTGATAAGTATTTATACTTCGGTAGCACAGCAAACTTGTATTAAGCTTTGTCAATTCTTTTTTTTTTTTTTAATTGCTTCAAATACCTGCACAAAAACATTTGCTTTTGGCCAGCTGACAATTTCCAAGTTGAAAAGCATAGAAAAATAGCACCCAAAAAGTCCATTTTTTTTTATTGTTTAGTTGAGTTTACATTCAGGCTGAGGAATGAGACACTCCTGTTGTTTAAGTGGATTTCCTCTCCCTAGGAAATGGTAAATAGTTTTCAACAACAATGCTTTAAGGTAAGGGTATTTTTCAGAATTACTTTTCTTCACAACAAAACTACCTTTCGTGTTTATTGAACTGCAGCGTTTTCTCTTCCTGGTTTATATTTAATTTTAACACTTGTCAAACTCTTTTAGGATAAAAGAAAATACAAACCATATTTATAGAAACTGCAATATAATAAAATCCATTAAAATGGCCACTTTTACGAAGCAGACATTTGAATATACTGCTCACATTTCTTCTCGGTACTTTTAACCAGTTAGAGGGGAAACATGGTACGTGTAACCATTCTGTACTTCTGACAGTTCTCTGGCAGCAGAGTGAATGGGAACAGAATGAATGATAGCAATCAGGGGCACCTTTTGATGGTGTGCAGTTGTATGACACGATGCTGTTTCTTCTTAGGCCCTCATGACATTCTTCAGTAAAGTGATCGCCAATGAATCAAAAAACCGAATGAGTCTGTGGAACATTTCTACAGTGATGGCACCAAACCTTTTCTTCAGTAGAAGCAAACACTCTGATTATGAAGAATTACTGTTAGCAAACACTGCGGCCCACATCATCCGCCTAATGCTTAAGTACCAGAAAATTTTGTGGAAGGTGAGTGACATTGTGATGACAGGTCCTCCTCGGAAGTCCATGGCCTCGGGAAATGTAAAGGCTCCGTGACTGGGCAACTCCCTTGGTCATAGGGAAGAAATATGAGACGATAACCCCAGGTGGCTGTGACATCCTTACAGCTTCCGGAAGGGCTACTCTTTATCACAGTTTCCCTTTGAAACAGGGATCCACATAATTTTTTCTAAACTTTATAAGGACGATGTCACCATTTCTGGCTCCAGGATACCGAGTGACTGGGAGGAGTTGCCGTGCCTGAAGGCAGAATCTGCTAGGGAGGTTGAATTCAAGTGTTTTCCATCCAGTCCAAGCTATTTTTCTTCTCCAGGTTCCATCTTTTTTGATCACTCAAGTAAGAAGAATGAATGAAGCCACGATGCTGTTAAAGAAGCAGCTCCCGAGTGTCAGGAAGCTGCTCAGGAGGAGGACCCTTGAGCGGGAGGTAAGACAGCGAACGGGGCACGGCGATTGTCCGCTGCCTAGATTTGTACTCCTCCAGGGGAGGCGCAAAGTAGCTTGTCATTGAGAACCAAGCGTTTTATATTCTCAAGGATCAGGGATTGTTGTAACTATAAACATCGTGGAAAGTGGGTCCATGACAGAGTACCGGGGTCTTTGCATCTTGTTGAGAGTTATGTGCCTTTTGGTTAAAGTTCTTGAAATATCTCAGTCAGGAAGATTGTTTGATATCCCACCAGACAGGCTAAAACGGTTCTCGCAAAAGCTGAAAGTCAACGTTTTAGTCCCTGTCAACTTGATTTAAGGGCAATCCAGTATCCAAGTGTCTAATACTTGGGAAAAGAGATTTCTTCATTGATCAGATAGTAAAGGAATAGCTAATCCTTAAATTATTTTGTGTAAATTCATTGCATTCCAAGGAATTCAGAGTCTTGTTTTAACACAGTTATTTGTGTGGAGGCACATAATGGAAACAAGTTTTAGAAGAATTATTTTTACTGCTTTTATTTAACTTGAGGGTGATCACAAGTGCCAGATACTGCATTCAACCTTGAGGAGGATGTAGAGATACTTGAAATTTACTTTGCCTTCAAAGGAACTTACACCTAATGTGGGAGACAAATGTATATGAGAGCCCCAGGGGCCCAGCAGGGACGCACCAGGCCCGCTGTGCCAGGGCCATGCAGAGGACAAGGAAATGTACTCTAGCCTGGGAGACTGTGGATGGCTTCACTGAGGATGCAACATTGGAGCTACATTTTTTTTGAGACAGAGTCTTGCTCCTCCGCCTCCCAAGTTCAATTGATTCTCCTGCCTCAGCTTCCCGAGTAGCTGGGACTACAGGCATGCGCCACCCTGCCCACCTAATTTTTGTATTTTCAGTAGAGACAGGGTATTTTTAGTAGAGTAGGGGTTTCACCATGTTGGCCAGGCTGATCTCAAACTTCTGACCTCAGGTGATACGCCTGTCTCAGCCTCTCGAAGTGCTGAGATTACAGGCATGAGCCACTGTGCCCTGCTTGGAGCTACACTTCTTTTTATAGAGTTGGAGTCTTGCTCTGTCACCCAGGCCGGAGTGCAGTGGCATGATCATGGCTCACTGTAACCTCAAACTCCTGGGCTCAAGTGATCCTCCTGCCTCAGCCTCTCCAGTAGCTAGGACTACAGATGCATACCACTATACCTGGCTAACTTTAAAAAAAGTTTTTTATAGAGACAGGGGTCTTGCTATATTGCCCAGGCTGGTCTTGAACTCGTGGCCTCAAGCGACCCTCCCACTTCAGCCTCCCAAAGTGCTGGGATTATAGATGTGAGCCACTATGCCTGGTTGGAGTTGTATCTTGAAGGACGGATACCACTGTGAAAGGAGAAAGTCCAGGGAAAAGGACAGTAAATGCCAAGGCAGCGAGGCGGGAGGGAGTGTTGTTGATTTATCATAATCGTGATGAAAGAGTGTATTCTCTGACTCATAATAGGCAAAGTGACTTCATATCAAGTAGAACCAATACTTTTATTTATAAATGAAATTTTTAAAAATTTGTTTTGAGAAAAAAATCACATAATATAAAATTCACTGTGTTAAGCATTTGAAATTGTACCAGTTCAGTGTGTTTTAGTATTTCACAATGTCCTGCAACCATCTCAGCTTACTGCAAGCTCTGCTTGCCAGGTTCACGTGATTTTCCTGCCTCAGCCTCCCAAGTAGCTAGGATTACAGGTGCCTGCCATCATGCCTGGCTAATTTTTATTATATTTTTAGTAGAGACAGGGTTTCACCATATTGGCCAGGCTGGTTTCGAACTCCTGACCTCAGGTGATCTGCCCGCCTCGGCCTCCCAAAGTGCTGGGATTGCAGGCGTGAACCACCACACCCAGCCTGAAGACTTTTTCTAAAGTCCAATGTCTGGACTTCCTTAGACAGTTTCTTCAGAAACTATTGCTTTTTCTCCTTGTATAGGAGCAATATTTCCTTGACTTTTTTACCTAACAGCTCTTTGTTGAAGACTGGACATTTTGAGTATTATGTGGCAACTTTGGAAATCAGATTCTTCTCCCTCCTCAGGGTTTGTTGCTTCTGCTCTTGTACCTATTGTTTGTTTGCTTCATGACTTTTCTCGTGAACTGATTTTGTAAAGTCTGTATTCTTTGTTTTGTATGGCTTTGGAAGTCTATGTTCCATTAGTTTAATGATAACTAATGATCAGACAGAGATTCTCTTAAGTGCCTGGAACTAAAAAACCTCCCAGTCTTTGCAGATGAGCAGTGTGTGTGCTGGGGCACACCTTTAGCACTCAGCAAAGCAGTTTCTAACTCTGCCTGAGCCCTCGCTTCCTGCTTGCACAGATCCTGAGGATCAGCCAGAAGTTTATGTTTCCAGCTCCTTCTCAGTTATGTGGCCTTTGTATTCTCAGGAATATTTTAAGGCTTTTTACAACCTTTATTTTCCAAAGCATCTCAATCTCCAGCCTTGCCTCCCAAGCTTTTTAGTTATCTCTTGTTTTCCTCAATTCCGATCCACTGCATCAGGCAACTGTGACAAAAACACTTGCCTGTAAACGTTTTTGACATTACACCCCTTTAGCACCCATCAAGTTCCAAGTTAGGCAAGGTGAAGGCAAGCCTTTTGAGCCAGTCTTTGAGGGAGCCACCAGACAGATGAGAGCAAATCATTAGAATTCTTGAGCGAGGTTCATTCTGCTCCCTGCAGTACCCATGCCAGAAATGCAGGCCGTTATTTTCAAGGCTATCACTGAATTGGAGAGCAGGGGTGGAGAAGCATAAGTAAAAATGACACACGGCTCTTTCTCTTACTTAAGCACTCCCCTAGTTGAAGCCTTTGGATTTGTGTCCAGAGTTCTAAAAGAGTCAGTACTGATAGTTTTTGCCAGTTCATCCATTGCTTTGATGGAGGGGCAGCCGTTTTCACTCTGGAAAACCATAACAGTATAATTAAATGTGTGGAACAGAGGTCAGGTCAGGCCTTGTCAGTCACTACCCATATGAGCCTGGACAAACTACATTCTTTCTTTGAGCCTCAATATTCTTATTTTATAAATTGGGAGGGAGGGCAGATAATGATCTGTTTCACAGAGCTGTCATTAGGACGGACGCACATGTCCGTCACATGTTCACACAGTTCACACAATGTATGTGAACTGTACCTTGCTATATCCATGTCACTTTAATGTTTTATTGTAAATAGAACCAAGATAGAATGTAAAGGTTATAAATACCATAGAAGCAAACACTTAAAGAAATAGTTTTTCTTTCATACTGTTGTACTATACTGCTTTTTGGTTTTTCTGTTTTTATTTTTGTTTTTGTCGAGATGGAGTCTTGCTCTGCCGCCCAGGCTGGAGTGCAGTGGCGTGATCTCGGCTCACTGCAACATCCACATCCTTGGTTCAAGCGATTCTTCTGCCTCAGCCTCCTGAGTAGTTGGGACTGCAGGTGCCCGCCACCACGCTCGGCTAATTTTTTTGTATTTTTAGTAGAGACGGGGTTTCACCATGTTAGCCAGGATGGTCTAGATCTCCTGATCTCATGATCTCCCCACCTCGGCCTCCCAAAGTGCTCGGATTACAGGCGTGAGCCACCGCGCCCGGCCACTATATTGTGTTTTTAATTCTTAATTTTGATTGGAATAGACAGTTCATTAACAAGTTACAAATTTAGAAGTCAGGAAAGACCATGGAATAAAAATCAGCCACCTCCAACTTCCCCTCCTGGAGACAAATAGTATCACCAACGGCAGGGTGTGTGTACAGGAACATGCAGGTGTGTAAACCTTCTGAGATGCTCTATCCGCTTACCAGCAACTATCAATGTATGCTCTTTCCCTTTTAACATGAATGTAGCATACAGGAAATGCTGTCCTGAGTCCTGCTTTACTGACTTAACAAATCATGGGGGATTATTTTATATCAGTCCACAAAGCCAGTACCTTTGCTTCTCTGCTTCTTTTGCATGCTATTCCATAGACTCACAGTAAGTTATTTCAGCAGTCTCATATTGGGGAACAGTTTGTGTCTAATCTTTTGCTGTTACAATCCATGAGTCAGAGAACAAACATCTATATACATCATTGTTCACAAATGAAGTATATTTATAGGATAAATGCATAGATGTGGAGCTGTGGGATTACAGTGCATATACATTTTATAATTTTATAAATATTGCCAAAATGTTCTCCATAAAGATTGTACCAGTTTACACTTCCAAAAGCAACATATGCTTGTTTTCTCAACATTACTCCTAAAGACTGTGTTTCCTTTAGACTGCAAGCCCCAAGACTTCAAAGGTACTGCAAAAATCACCCTCGGCAAGAAGAATGGTAAGAAAAATAATTTCTTTTCCCTTCCATTAACTCCCTATATAGTCTTCTCTGGCAACATCCACCACATTTATGTATAATGTTTGTCATGAACTATCCTTCAAACTTGACATTTTCAATGTGGCACATAAAGGAATGGTAGAGGGACCTGACTGGCTGATGATTCAGAATGTGTGCCTGGGCCTCCTATACACAGCTACAATGTTGTGGAAAGTTATAGAAGGAACGAGATTATTACGATCATCGGTCAGTAGTGTCAGAGTGTGCAATCTATTGTATAGGGAGAGGCGTCTGGGGAGCTGATGAAATAGGACATAGACAATTAAAGGCGTACTTTAGGAGTACAGTCTTGGCTGCAATGCGCCTCGGACTTGGCCCCCATCCAGATGCAAATCCCTCAGTATCTTTTCCTGAACTCCTGCTCTCATGGTTCTTGCTGGTAATGTTAGGAGAATACTGTAAGAACTGACTCTGTTCTAAAATATTTTGTGTTAGTTCCTTAGGGCTGCCCTAATAAGGTACCACAAATGAGGTGGCATAAAACAATAGACATTTATGATTCTTTCACAGTTCTTGAGGCTGAAAGTCCAAAATCAGGGTGTCAGCAAGCTTGGCGCCTTCTGAAGCCTGTGAGAGAAGCACCTGCTTCTTGCCCCTCTTTTGCTTTTGGCGATGCCAGTAATCCTCGGCATTCCTCAGCTGGTCTCAGCCTCCATCTTCACATGGCGTTCTTTCTTGTGTCTCTTCTTATAAGGATGCAAGTCACTTGGGTTAAGGGCACACCCTACTGCAGTTTAGACCTCTTATGTAATGGCCTCATCTTAACTAATTACATCTGCAATGACGTATTTCCAAATAAGGTCACGTTTCGAGGTACTGAGGGGTTAGGGCTTCAATTTGTCTTTTGGGGAGACACAGTTCAGCCCATAACATATTTTTTCTAGGGTATCAATAGAATATTGATAGAATGTGACTCTAAGGAGTCCATTTATATAAATCATCTACATCAACAGCACTATCCTTTGAGAAGGTACAGATTTAAAACAATTAAGAGACACCATCTTTCCCACAGCCACTTACCCTGCTCTGCAGTGTTTTCAGTGCACTTTGAGGGGTCCCGTTTCAAGTGCCCCTGTGGAATTGAATTTGTGCCAGCCACTCATGGCTGCTAACTAAAGAAAGAAGGTATTGGAGAAGCCATATTTTCTAATTGACTCTTAACATTTTCAAAAGGTTGGTCTTCTTAAAATATATTGAAGTACAGAATTCTGCTTAAAGCAGGGTCAGTTAGGAGTTTGTCCAAGAAATGCATGAATAGAAACATTTGATCTTTGTCATAACCCAGTTTTTCCCTCTCATGATTTTAAGTCATTATAGCAAGACCTGCCCATGTGCAGTGAAAATAAAATCCCAGGTTAAGCTTAGTCATGAGTGAGCCTCCAGCTGAGAAAGAAAGTAGTGTTCCATTCTGGTTAATGTTGACCATAGTGACGTGTTTTCCCAATTCAGAGTAGCACTGATTTTCATAGCTCTTAAGTGCATCATTGAGCTGATATTTATGCTAGTTTGACAGAATGTACTGAATTTCTCCTCCTTGGCAGTCTGACGTGCCGGAAGGAGTCATACGGGTCCATGCTCCACTTCTCTCCAAGGTGTCCATGGCCATTCAACTCAACAATCAAACCAAAGCCAAAGACATATTGGCAAAATTTCAATATGAAAACAGGTGAGTCAATGTGAATGAAGGTCTCTGCACAAGAAGGAAAACGTTTACCAGACGAATAACTTTCTAGGCATTTACAAATTTGACCTTTTGTAAAATATAGAACCTGTTACTTTAGGGCGTTTACCAGTGGATTACTAGAATGAAAAGAGAATGAATGAAGTTAGACATATGACTGCTAACAACAAAAGTTGTTTTTCAAAGGAATTTCTAGAAATGGGATTCTTAATAGGTATTGTCTATCTTGGTAGCTTCATTTATTCAGTGAGTTTTACCTTTTATTTTATTTTATTTTATTTATTTATTTATTGAGATGGAGTTTTGCTCTTTTTGCCCAGGCTAGAGTGCAATTGCACAATCTTGGCTCACTGCAACCTGCACCTCCTGGGTTCAAGTGATTCTCCTCCCTCAGCCTCCCAAGTAGCTGGGATTACAGGCACGCACCACATGCCTAATATTTTTGTACTTTTAGTAGAGATGGGGTCTCACCATGTTGGCCAGCCTAGTCTCAAACTCCTGACCTCAGGTGATCCACCCACCTTGGCCTCCCAAAGTGCTGGGATTAGAGGCATGAGCCACTGCGCCTGCCCGAGTTTTACCTTTTTTCGAATGAAAATATAGCAAGTTAGTTTTGTGGATATCTTGATAGTCCTTCAAGAATAACATTTTCCTAGGCTTGCATTGGCTTTAACATGCCTGTATCAGATAGAGATTATGTAGTTAAGTGGATACCATAGCTGTTACTTTCCTTAAAACATACTACTACTAAATCTTAGAATCAGGATGATACTTACAAAAATTCTTTTTGCAAATCTGCCATGGTCACCTTGAAGGGGCACAGATCATGATAATTTTTGTCTGGACATGCTTACTAAAGAATAAACATTTGTCTTCTGGTTTATAAAGGATGAGAAGCACTCGTTTATCCATTGTAGAGCATGTATGATTTGCTGTCTCTAGTAAGACTGATGGATGGGCCTTAAAATGAAAGCATTCCAGTCATGTTGAAAAGAAGTAGCCTTGTTGAGCAAAAAGCCAATTGAAAAAGTTAACATATTGCACAATTCCATTTGTATAACATTTTTGAAATTAAATTGTATTGATGGAGGATAGATTAGTTGCCAGAGGTTGGGAGGGTTGATTTGGAAGGGAGATGGTTTTGGTCACTAAAGGCCAACATGAAGGACCCTTATGGTGTTGGAACTTGTGGTGTTGGGATCTTGACTGTGGTGATGGATAACTGACCCTCTATAAAATTCTATTGCAATTAATACACACACACACAAATGAGTACAAGTAAAACGGAGAAATCTGAATAAGATAGGTAGATTGTATTAATATCAGTATCCTGATTGTGACATTATGCTGTAGTTGTGTGAATTGCTACCATTGGGGAAAATGGCAGAATACAAAGAATCTCTCTGTATTATGTCTTACAACCACATGTGAATCTACAATTATCTCAATAAAATTTAAATTAAAAGAAAAACAAGTAGCCAGTAAAAGTCATCTATGGTGTGAGGTCAGGATTTTCTACCATCAGGAGAAAACCTCGGGAGATGGGTGCACCAAAATCTCAGAAATTACCACTAACGGGGGTAGTGGAAGGTAGGGGGTGGAGGAAGGCATAGCGACCGGAAAGACATGCTGATGGCCTTGGAAGTTTTTTTTTTCTTTTGGTATTAGATTATATGATGTGTTCACTTTGTGAAAATTCATCAAGTTGTGTACTTCTGACTTGTGCATTTTATGTATGATATATACACACACGTTAACCCGTTTCCCACTTGCCCCAACAATACTGCACTGAGAGCAAGCTGCACTTTCCTTCCTAAATGGGAAATGGGTTAAAAAAGAAAAAGAAGAGTAGACAGAGGTCAACAGGAGCCCCAAACATGTATTCCTCTTTGCTACTGGCCTGGACACCTCCACGTAGGCAGTCATATAGAGGCTTGAAATACCATTCAGGGGATTTGGGTATCCAATAGACTTCTAGTTACAGATAATACAAAGCTGACTTTGTACTCTCAAGTAGACCTTTTGTAGAAAGAAAATGTTTCTAATAAAAATAAATTAGAACCAATGACTCCTGATAGACTCAAATCTTTTCTAACAACTTCTTCGAAAAATCTTAGTAACTCAGGAATGGAAAACCAAACATCATATGTTCTCGCTTGTAAGCGGGAGCTAAGCTATGAGGATGTAAGGCATAAGAATGACACAGTGGACTTTGGGGACTCAGGGGGAAAAGGGGGAAGAGGGTGAGGAATAAAAGACTACAAATTGGGTTCGTTGTATACTGCTTGGGAGATGCGCACACCAAAATCTCAGAAATTACCACTACATAATTTACTCTTGTAACCAAATACCTGTTCCCAAAAAACCTATGGAAATAAAAAACTTTTAAAATAATAATTTAAAAAAAATTGTGCCCTATCCGTTCTCTTTACTTGTTAGAACTATGGCCTATTTCAGTTTAAGTGTTGTAAACTGGCCCTGATTTTGCGTCTTTCACTAGAGGCTTATTTCTGACTGCCTACTCAGACCCCCATGTGTTTAAGTTAAAACAGGAGGGAGAAGACCCATTCCTTTCAGGTACTCTCCCTTACAACTAGTAAACCCTGGACAGTAACACAACAAAAAGCAGAGAAAGATTCTGAAAGGTGGAAAGACGAGGCCTTGAGAAATGGCACGGTGGTGAGTTCTGGGAGTTTCCTTATCACCTCCCATGCATCCCAGACAGAACACTGTGGAAACTTCCAACCTGCAACTGACAATAGGCACAGATGAAAAAGAGCTCTAAGGAAAGCCTAGCCAAAGGATTAGGTAAAGGGGTGGCCTAACCACAAAAAATCGTTTCTGGCAATATCTGCCCTACTCCAGCCAAACACCAACAGAAAAAACGCGCCACCGCCCCATGGTTTCAGTGGATCCAAGCAGGGAGTGGATCTGCCATCCACCACGTGCCACCTAACACAACCAGGTGGGTGGTCTGATTCCAAGCCAGGGTCGTGTATGCAGGGTCTTGCAGTGAGCTAAGCTTTCCCCTTCACCCAGCAGCAATGAAACACAGTAGCAGTGAGGCAGTGCAAGGCAGGCCATTTAGCACAAGTGTCAGTAAGGCCCCGAGGGAGCTGAGCCTCTTCCCCTGACCATATGAGCAAAACTGAACAAGGCAGGCCAAAGCAGAGCTTCCCTGTTGCCCTTAGTAGTATCAGTCAGCCCCAGTGGGGAGCTGAGCCTCCACCTGACACCTGGTGGAAAGGGGTAAAATGTGGGAACAGTTGACACTCTGCTCCCTCCCCTCCTCTTTTCTGGTGTCAGTGGGGCCCAGTGAGGAGCTGAGCTTCACCCTCAGCCTGCAGCAACAAGGCAGTGTTAGCTTCTGTTTTCCACCACCCTGGTGGCAGCAGAGCCCAGCAGGGAGCTGATCTCACACTCCCAATTGGAAGCAATGAGGCAGAGCCAGTTGCTCTCCTGCTTTCAATGGGGCCCAGCAAGAAGCTGAACATACATGCCCACCCAGACCTTGTGCTAAACCTCAACAGGAAGACTACATGCCAAAAAATGAAGATGAAATAAGCCCCAGAGTCTCATCGTTTCATATCCAAAAGGTTCACAATACAACCCAAAATCACTCATTAAGACAAAACCACAACATGAATGAGAAAAAAGAAACCACAATGTCAACACTAAACTAAATCAAATTTTAGAATTTTCTGACAAGAATGTTATAGCAACTGTCACAAAAAGTACTTCCACAAGCAATTATGAATTCTGAAACAAATGAAAAAGTAGAAAATATCAGCAAAGAAATAGATGTTATTTAAAAATACAACAAATGGAAATTTACAGAACTGAAAAATGCAAAAACTGAAGTAAAAAACTTGCTGAATGGGTGAAAAAACTTGTTCAGTAGTAGAGTGAAGATAATAGAGGATAGAATTAGCAAACTTGAGGACATATCAATAGTTTATCGATTATGAACAACAGAGAGGAAATAAACCAGAAAAAAAAATGAACATAGCCTCAGGGACCTATGGGAGTCTAACAAGTGAGCTACATGTCATACAGAATCCCAAAAGGAGAGGAAATACAGAGTGAGACCTGTCAACTGTGAATTCTATATTCAGCAAAAATGTCCTTCTGGAAATGAGGGAGATATAAAGACATTCTCAGATGAAGGAAAACTAAGAGATTTGTTGCTAACAAATTGACCCATAAAGGATGGCTGAAGAAAGTTCTTTAAACAGAAAGGAAATTATAACAAGGCTTAGAACATCAGAAAGGAAAGGAGAACATCAGAGTGGGTACAAAGAGGGCTATAAACTATCCTACTTCTCATGCATTTTTAAAATCACATTTGGTGAGAGAAGCAAAAATTGTATCATCTGATATATTGCTCATTGTATGTAGAGGACACACGACAATTACATTTTAAAATGGTGGTGCACCCCCACTCCCTAAATGTGGTCTATGCAGAGTGACTTCCTTCCAAAAACTAGTGTGTAAAAAGGGAAAAAGCAACTTTACACCGAAGAAATCTGACCTCAGTTAGGTGATCGGGTTAATATTAGCAGTGATGTCATGTTGATAATATCCAAGTACACCCTTGATACGATAAAAACAGCCCTTTATCTCCGTGGTCTTCCTCCAAGAACACATAATTCCAATCTAAACATGAGAAAAACATCAGAAAAATCCCAATTGAGGAACATTCTGTAAAATACCCTAGCAGCACTCCTTGAAACTGTTCAGGTCATCAAAACTAAGGCAACTGTGAGAAATTATCAGAGCCGTCTAAGGAGACCCAACTACTATATTAATTTCCCAGTGCTTAAAAGGTGGAAATGTATTCTCTCACAGTTCAGGAGTCCAGAAGTCTGAAATAAAGATGTCAGCAGGTAGATTCCTTCTAAAAGCTCCGCGGGAGAAACTCTGCCATGCCTCCCTCGTGACTTTTGCTGGTTGACAGCAATCTTGGCATTCCATGGCTCGAGACA